GATATCGCTTGTTCGTAAATCGTGACCTGGAGCTCGCTAATCGCCAAACTCCAACTCTATGCACACCATTCTACTGCCAGGAGAAGAAAGACATAGACTGATTGGATTGTGCAATCGATTGCTAAAGTCGGCTGGTCTGCAAACAGTTGCCATTGTCGTCATTCCTCATGTCTTGGCATGTCTTATGATGTTCATGGTCACAGGTAAAGGGAAGGAATCGAAAAGTCGATCCTGAACTGCAAAACGAAAAAAGGAGCTAAAATCGTGCTAAAAAGTGGGAATGTCTCTATCACCAGTATAATACGTAGCATTGGATGCCAATATCGTGTCTAGAGTGGCCCTACAGACTTGCTCTCAATCAAATGACAAGGTTGCCTGATCAGACGTGCAATCGCAGGGTGTGTGATACCCTTAGCGTACGATAGAGCAGGTAACTAGAGATTAAGGCAAGTGTAGACTTCATTTATCATAATAAACCCATCTATACTACTATAGGACCCTCTCTGAAGAGCTCATTTAACCTCCCGGAACAGATTGTGGTCCCATATTCGTTTCTGAGAAAACTCGTTGAGTATGAGGCTCTGCTGAGAGGATATAGAAACAAAGACTCGGAATGAAGAGATGGTTTAGTATCCTTTGTGTTTAGCAACCTCGTAGGTTGATGACCATGCTGATTACTGGGTTAGTTAGTGGCATGTGAATGCCGTACGAAACTAAGACTTGGAGTTTTGAAGTGATAAGGGTCTTTGTGGGTGTTTGAGATCTGTAAGGCTTCAGCGAACAGCAATGTAGTCTTTTGTTGTATCAACACCAGTACCTTTCCAACGTGTGTGTCGCTGCTTTACAGTACTATACGTATTCAGTACTGTACCTGTTCAATCTCTGGGGGCTGGAGGGAGGTATGTCTGACATCATTATCTCTGATAAAAGACTACCTGTTGTTAACTACTGTTGTGTTTCTGCCAGCGTGAGACGATACCTACAAAAAGCTACATTCCACGTTGTCTCAAGCCTACTAGGTGGCATTTTTTGTCTCTAGAACCTCTGACAACCACACAGAACACCACATTAGGAACAGAAGAACCGTGAGTACAACTGAATGGAGTTGCTTAGACAACCGTGAATGCGCTTTGTGGAAGGTTTATGAAAGCACCCATCTCAATCTGAGCCTTTTTAATTGGTTTCGCGATCTCTCAGTTTCGCCCAGCCCTAGAAGCGAAAACGTCAGAATGAAGCCAAAGATCTAGTCAAGGAAGCGCGGGAAGTTGACCAAACGATTTTCACTTAGGCTGTGACCATTGGGAGTCTTTGAAATGTTTCTCTATCATCAGTTTTCGTTGAGTTGTGAGGTATTGTAGTTTTGCTACATACCCTCCTAGCATTCTTGACATTATGTTCACTCAGACCGTGCGGACTATTGACATTATAACAATGGCTACAACTACTGCTATGTTTATACTGCAGGACTGTTGATTCTCATTCGCCATAATCGTATTCTCATGTCTAGAATGGATTCCTCACTTTGCTAAAATCCTCATACATCAGACTAGCACTAGGATAGTGTACAGTACTCGTAGTAAACATGGCTTAAGCAGCGCCAAGATCTGTCTGGATAGTCATATATCACTCCAAGAATTCTTCGGGACTAATGAGATGCCGACTCCGCCTCCCCTCACTCGCCTTCAATTGAGAGCAAAACATGTACGCGAATACGCCATGTATTGTGTACATAAATGCACATATGACAAGGCGCACCGGTCAGGATAGACGGCATGAAACAGAGAGAAATGTTTAATTTGCACCAATCAGGGGTCTCGTATTAGCTCAGGGGCCTTCCTCTTACCTCGCCGTCTCGTCTGACGCCCCACAGCCAGCCAATTCCACCAACATCACAAGGCCTCACCCCAAAACCGGTCTTTTTGGATATCTACAGAAGCAGTGGTTCTTGTAAATATCTCAGCCTGCTCCACCACGAATCTGGCTGCTCTACCCTTGCAGCTATGGCGCTCTCGGCGCTTCCTGGGAAGTCTAACGACGGGTAAATTTAGCGACCTCATAGATGTAGAGTTCTCCAATTGGGTTCTAGGCAAGAGTCGGAAGAGATATGGATGCCTAGAAACATGTAACAAAAGACGGCCGTCTGATATATCCAAGTTAGGGCATCCATAAGGCTGCTTGGCGTAAGTTGCGAGGGTCTGGAGCGGGTTTGATTTGGTTAATGGAACCTTAGATATCTCAAGCAGAACCCTAACTATCTTGTTAGAAAAAGCAACGACGATATAACGTAGTCATCTCAAGGGTGGTCTGGGCTGTGTCATACTGTAGGTAGAAGACCCGGGACCGGAGACAAGCTGGCCGAGTCAGGATAGTATTTAACATTGAGCTTGTCAACAACTGATACGATCATCTGCTACTTGGTTTTTGAGCATTGTCTTGTTGGAACTCCAAGGGTCTAGCACTCGAGGAGTTGGTTGCAGTAGAGCTGGTAGTTCGTGGTTGGTGTGTAGTAGCCTGTACTGAGGACTTGTAATAGTTGTGGAGCGAGCTGAAGAGAGCAGTGCAATTCGGCGACAGCGTGACAGTCGGTGAGATGTCGTCAAGTTCAATGAGAAGACGTGTGGCAGATTCATGTGTCAGGAGCAATAGACCAGACAGAGGGCCCACACGACAACGTAGATGCTAACACCGTCCAATAAGACTCGCAATAAGGCTCTCCACTGACACGCCTAGCAACTCCTGTCAACATGACAATCTCCGTGGAAGACACTGACAAGAAATTAGTCCAGGAACGGCTGCAACAACATAATCACATGCCACTCCAGCTGAAAGACGTTATCTGTCAGTGAAGACAGCAACATGCCAAAGTCCTTTGGAGCGATTGAACGAGTCTGAAAGGGTCTGTGACGTCGTTTTGCGTTTACTTTCAGACTCAATTCAACGGGCCGTCTGAAAGTGGGGTGGTGTGATGATGCTGACGTGTACAACTGGCTGCTGGAGATTTGTAGCTGTGAGACAGTTGGCTGAGATGTAGGAGAATGGAAATGGGAGCCACAAAGGTCCTCTGTTGTTGAGCTGTTCACAGTGCTATCTTGATACTGGTAGTGTCCCGACAGCAACTGTGGCTACTGTACTGGATGTACTGTTCGTAACATCGTGATAGCCCCAGAAAAAGTCTATGAATCAATCATGACAGCCACCCCCCAAGTCTCCTAGCCCCTTTTGGCAACCGTAACCCTCCAACAATCTTCAGCTTCTCTCCAACAATCGTCGGCCACTCTCCAACAATCGTCGGCCACTCTCCAACAATCGTCGACCACTTCCGCATCTAGCTTCCGCCACCTGTTGGGCGTTGAGCACATGTAGCTGGACCATTTAAGCAAGCCAAAGAACCAACGCGTCGTCGACAGCGATGGCACACGTCAAAGCCGTTGCTTGTGTCAGTGTCAGTGTCACAAAGGCCGAAACCGTGCACTACACTTGGTACCGTACAGTACATAGTGTGCGGTGCAGTGTAGGACCTCGGTGGGGCTCTAGACTTTGATATCCAGCAGTCCCCCAGCAGTTCAATCTCTCATCATGTCAACCCACACTTGTCCAAACAGTCAAAAAAGCATCCCACAAACCCTCCTTCCCTCTAACCCCAACTCCTACCGCATTTGGTACTCATACTCACCGTGAACCCAGCGACACAGGCTCCCCCTAGCAATTGAGCACCCCGAGAAATTGAGCTTCCCGTGATGATGAGCTCCCCCGTGCAACTGAGAAGACACTCAACAACCGAAGGGGGATCTGTTACCCTCCACCTCCTCCAATCAATTCCTCCTCGCACCTCATTCCCACCACCAACACACTGAACGACAAATGATACTCAACAAAAAACAACCCTCAAATTACTGTACAGCGCAGTACTTGTACACTACAACTCACTACACTACGCTACACTACACTACACTACAGGATGTACCCTACAACACACCACAAACACCTCCACTGGCAACAACCGAACCCCCCGCGGTCTCCGTCACGGTCGCCAACAACCGTCCCACGAGCACCTTCTTTACTCTCCCAATCTCAACTCCCCAATTCCCCCAAACCCCAGCCTCGCCTAACTCCAATAACAACACATCCTGTTGACACCACAAAAAGTCGCCGAAAATTGCTCCTTTTTCTTGTCAATAATCTCGAGGACCTACGTATAACTTTGAGGCACGTTTTCTCTCGTCATATACTCCCTAAACCACCCTACAACCACCGTCGTCATTTGTTGGACCACAATATTTATTTATTTTTGCGACTCCATTTAACGTTACAAATTAGGGTTCGGTATACTTTTTAGGTTCACGCTACGCTAGAACGAAACGCTCTTTGCTCTCCACCTTAAAATAACACTACACACTGCAAGCACAGCTGGAGTGCAACACGCGCACCTTTCAAAAAATGCAATAAATAAAAATATGCTATATGGAGGTCTTTGGTTTTCGCGAGCTAATATACAAGACCGCGGACGCGCTGCCCCCCGTGGTGGCGCCTCCCTCGCCTGGTCCCGTTGTCACCGTCGCCGCGCCTTCCTCTCTCCTGCACCTGTCCCAAACGGTGTGGCTGCGACGCTCCAGACCCGGGTTTCACCGCAGTAAAAATACTACTACCACGTAATTTCCAGAACAGCAAACACTCAGACCAGAGAGCATAGAGAGATATGGATAAAGGAGACGAAGACACGCTTAGCGGCGATTATTTCACTGGCACGACTACAATACATGGGCATTGACCATTGACATCTTCATCACCAGTACCGTTCTCATCACATCCGCCATCAACACCATTGCCTCCACACCGCCACAACCAGTGTAATCAGTGTAATCTGTCGCCTGTTCTGAACCTTTCTCGCCTCCATTCCGTCACTCTTTCTCACTGAGTAAGGGCTTTCCTTCACAATGACCAGTGCAATGACCTATGTCTAACCTCCTTGTCGCCGCCTAGTAAAAACGCCATGCCCGAAATCACAGCGTAGCCCCCTTCAACCTGGCTACCTCGGACTGGAGGTACTGCACGTACTCAGCTGAAACCTGCAGAATGCCAGCCTTTGAGGACAGTGTGGCCAGTTCGTCGAGAGAATAGGGGCATCCTGAGGGATCCTGGGATGGATGGAGCCCTGAATTAGACATCTGGTTGGCCCCAGAGCCCGAAGGCCCCGCCCCGCCTTCCGTCCATTCCTCCTCTCTCTTGATGGCCACCTCTTGATCTTCTCCCTCAACCAGTTGGTACCAGGGGACCAGCGACTTGAGACGTAGAAGTCCCAAATTAATGGCGGACCTGTACTTGCGTTCAATCTGGTTATGCACGAGTTTCTGTTGGGCCGTGAGCGTCTTTTTTTTGTAGACCCGCTTGGGGTTTTCCGATTTCGCGCTGAAGGACGATGAATACGCCATCTCTTCGGGGGACGGAGACAGCTGCGAGGGGCTGCCGGACGACAGAGTAGGCGAGACATTGAGCCCGGCCTTCTGAGCCACGGGCGAGACTCGAGGTGGCGATACTTTTGAGATTACTGGCGAACTTGTCTGCTTGGGGATTTGTGTTTGTGTTTGTGTTTGAGTCTGCGTCTGAGTCTGAGTCTGGGGCTGGGGCTGAGACTGACCTCGAGTATGTTGTGTTTTTGTCTGACCCTGGGCTTGGGTCTTTTGCTGAGGAGGATGTGGTTCTGCACCGTCCTTGTGTCTGCCATATCGAAAGTCGTGGGTGTAGAACGGATAGTCGGGCAGAAACGGAGGAGTGGGCCCTGCGCCGTTGTTGACGCGCAGATTCATCTCCACCGAATGACGCGGGGCCGTCACCACCGCCGTGCCCGGGGTGGAAATGGTGGACTCTTCCGTGGGAGGTGACAGAAACAGGGAGCTTACCAGATGCGGAGTCCCTAGCTGCGTGATGTAGGAGCCCATCATATGATCTGGGCCCGGCGCAGAGTATGCCGAGTACTCGGAATGGTGATGCTGATTGTGGGTGGAGTTGTGGTTGGTGTAGTGTGAGTCAGGGTTGGCTTCTGGAATGGCGATGGAGCTGGGCATGTCATTGTGGGGGTTGTGTGGTATGTGGGTCGAAATGGATCCCGCCTGAGGGTCGTTTTTGCCGTCGTCGTGCCGGAACCCGTCATAGTACGTCTGGGTGTCGTCGGAGTAGCTCCCCCGTGTGTTGTTGTACATTTAAATGCCGTTAGTACCGGAGTATTGGCTTTAGGAGATTCAGGCTCCGTCTATATATATAAATGTATACGAACAGAAAGACACCCGGCTACTGTCCCCTTTGTGTTTTTCCCCTTGTGTGTTTTTTCTTTTCCCTGAACAATGCTGGACAAAGAACCCGTGAATGAACCTTATTCCACCACCTTAATCCCCATCTTGCTCAATCTACAAAATCATAACCTTGTGTTGTGCAGATATCACGTTGCTTTTCTCAACATAGCTGGAGCTTAATCCTAAACGGGATGGGAATCAGGTGTCAGGCCGCAAACTCCGATAAAAATAGGCTTTAGAGATGCGTCGTATGAAAATCTCAGATCGCAGAAAATTGCGGATGCCGCAAAGAGGAGGTGGTGGTGGAGTCGGCGATCCAGGTTGAGGGGAAATCCAGCGATGGGCCGCCCGTATTTCGCCTTCCCCCGTGGCCGTGGTGACCGCAGCGGGGCCCGGAAAAACAGTTTAATACTCTCGGGATATTAAATATGCATGCAAAGTCTAAAATCTCCAGACGGAAATGCCATAGTGAGGCCAATTCGAGCGCAAGTTGCCAGCAGCGCCCCATGCATGCTGTTTAATTTCCCCTCCCCGCCGCTCCGGGTGTTTGTGTCCATCAAGATTTAATTGGCAGCTCGATAGGCGTATTTTCTTTTCTAGAATCCTGTCCATGCAGCGTCAGGGTTTGGCGTCTGGGTTTGGCCAGCTGCACCTGTCTCGTTTAGACGGGATGCAGGAGCACCGGGTTGCATGGGCAGGAAAAAAGACAGGTCATGTGATTGCAGCGGCTTTTGTGTTGGTTGTTTTTTCGTCCCTTTTTTCGCCGTTGTGGTGACAAAACCTCCGTCGTCTGACTAACGCCGGAGGTTGGGCCCTATCCCCGGGCGTGTACAAAGGCCGTATTGCAGCTGTGGGGGCCACGTCGGACGCACGGAAGGTGTGGGGGAGGATATGGGGACTACGAGCCGGCGTTCACGGGACAGAAGGGTGGTGAGTGAGAGGCGCAGGTGGAGGGTGGAACGTGGCGTGTCAAAGAGAGTGGAGTTGCAGAGTGGAGTTGGAGAGTGGAGTTGGAGAGTGGAGTTGGAGAGTGGAGTTGGAGAGTGGAGTTGGAGAGTGGAGTTGGAGAGTGGAGTTGGAGAATGGAGTCGAGTTAGAGAGTAGAGAGTTGGGGAGTGGAGAGTAGGATGTGTTGAGGAGACGTTTGCGTCAGCATTTTTGTGGACGTTGTGTAGACTTTCTGTGCACGATCGTGTTGACATTTTTGTGGATGCTCAACATTTTTGTGGGCATTCTGCGGACGTTTGGATCTTTGATGTCAAGTGTCCATCTTATCTGGTGGAATACTGTCTAGAATCCTAGTCTGCCATAATCGGCTCCTAATAGTCGATTGTACCTGGAGGATCGCCATTGTTGCTGTATGGAGATGGTTGGTGCCACAGTATCCAACACTTTTGGCACAATACGGCAGAATGAAGACCCTTGGCGCCCATCAAGCCCCCTTTGGAACAATGGAGAGACCCTTGCCAACACTGGGACCGTTGTCAGACCGAGACAGAGTATCAAGTGGGACCAACATGATGGTGAGCTCAGATCATGTTGGTGAGTTCTGATCATGTTGGTGAGTTCTGATCACGTTGGTGAGTTCAGATCATGTTGGTGAGTTCAGATCATGTTCAACATGTTGTAGAGGATGTCCATTCTTCTATAAAACCCCATCGGTCGGTGAATATGTACAGTACGATACTGTATCCGGGTCCGAAAAAGTTGACCAGATCAAAGTCTTTCTTTATGATGATTGAGTGGAGACGGAGACGTCAGACTAAAGTGTCAACTTTCGGTACTGTACAGTGGCATATTGTCGATATTGAAAGTGGCATACTGTCGATACTAGTAGTGGCATACAGTCGACGTGGTTCCATACTGCTGACGTTAGACCCTCTTGATGTCGTTTCACCTCATCATCATTCACCGACTCGTGTGGACCTTACTAAGCGTCTCCAAATACAACTCTCCAACATGGTCGAATTGCTTCCAATCACAAGTTTTTAGTGCGCCTCGCTGCATCACGCAATCCCGCTCCATTTCGTCCTTTGAAGGCTCAGTACAGTCTGCGTCCTGTAGCCAATCGCGCCTTGTAAATGTGTCTCACACCATGCAAAACAGACACCCGTAAAAGTGAGACTGGAGAAACTTTTGTGGCAGGCGGTGATTCTAAAGAAACGCTGTCGAATATGACTCATTAGTGTCGGAGATTTCATTCTTCAGACTCAGTCTCACTTTTTTGTCACAGTACGGCGTTTGTTGACAACCATCGGCAAAATCAATGCACGGCTGTTGGACTCTGGAACAGCGCCATGGGTCCACAAAAGGGCGTAATTGACGTCAATTCCGTATAGAGACACTTGCCACAAGTTTACACATTGGTTAATCAACAGTTGCTAACCTTCCACAAACCATCCATCAACTTTCCTCCAACTCTTGTGGGCCGAGAAAGCTCTGCCGTCGCCATGGTACTCCAAATTCCAACCCACAGCCTCAAAAGACGGTAAACAATGACATACCCCGTATTCACCGCGTCCTCATATCCCGCGCATCGCCTTCGCATTTCATTACCCACCGAGAATTGCTTTTTCCTCAAGCAGCACGCTCTTTGCAGACAGATGCAGCCACCTGTCAAACTGTTTTAGATGGTTTCACCCTCATTGTCGGACGTGGCCCAGACCAAACTAGACCAGTAGGTACTTGCGGGGGTATATATGATTTCTGAGAGGTTTTTCGACTCCAATATTGTCATTATTTGCCATTTTTTCTTGTTGCAACATGCACACAAACTTTTTCTCGATTTTTTTTTTTTTTCAAATTTTAAAACGGCGATTTTTGTGGTTTGACAGATTCCTGAGAAGGCAATGGAGCCTGAAAACGTTCAAATGGTCTCAAATTGATATTGGAGGCTTGTTTAGTCTTCTCAGAATGACGTTTGGACAGATTGTCGCAATTTTCGGCGGAAAAAACCCATTTTCCAGACTATATTGTTTCAACCTTTTTTTTTACCAATCTGCCATCTCCCGGTGGCCAAGCTGGTTTAAGGCGCGAGACTGTAATGGTAAAATTGTAATCTTGAGATCGGGCGTTCGACTCGCCCCCGGGAGATTTTTTTGTGTAATTGGGGCCCGAAGTGATACTACAATTGGTTGTTGGTCACGTGATTTCGGCAAGTGTATTTATTTACATTTTGCACTGCCTTTTCCTAATTTGTACCTGTTTATTACCAGCTCGGTTTTTTTCCTTTATTTTTCTTCTTTTTTTTGAGGTGTAATTTGTTAAAAAAGCTTGACATTTAGTGGAAACTTCCAACTGCGATCTACAACATTTAAATTAGTCGACGAGAGATACACGAATAGCAACGAGATTCGTTCGGTTGAAACATCACTCGGTACTCGTAAAAAACAGTACAGTGACGTACGAGATTAGTCGGTTTGGCAGCAATCAACTGAGACGATCTAGCCAGGAGACATATACGGCAGGATTGTATTCATTCAATTAATGCACGTAGAGAAGGGCGGACAGCGGACAAAGCTGCTTTGGTATGGAGCACTGCAATTGGAGCAAGAGTATGCAATTGAAGGGATTGATTCGAGTATGATCGAGTCGGTGATAGATTGAAGTGAAGGATCCGGAGGGATCTGGCTACAGCATGTTCGGCTCAGTTGTAGTCTGTTGACTCCGGTCTGCATCTACGGTTGTTTTGACAATGTGAACATTCGGAGAATGTTGCCGAATCTCCGACCCGTGGTCCAGGCCGCAGGAACGGTCGATACTCGATTCGAATATGGAGCAAGTATTCTGCACAGGGCCCTCCCTTCATGTAGTCTGTACCCAGTGCAGACCCTGCAAGATGCTTCCACATATTATAATATGGCTAGGGCGGCGCATAATGTTTCAGTCAGACAAAGAGTAGATGGTGGGAGAGGGAGAGAGAGGGAGGGAGAGGAGAGGGAGAGGGAGAGGGAAGCGAGGGTGACTATCGACCTCTTGTGGTGAGTACTTTCATTCGGTTCTTTTCGGAGATATTGGCATGGCAGGGTTGAAGCACTGTCTTACAAGTTGCAACCATGATCCGGTATGGTATTGGTTGAAGATGTTTTGTTTTGATATGTTTTTTCAGTAAAGCGAGGAATGAGGATACATAGGACGACAGAATGGGTCAAGATGAAGACAAGAGATCTACAAGTTCAAGTTACACAAGGACAAGGCGGTTCTACGCAGGATATGGCGATTGGCACAAGGACAACGGCTCACAAGGACAAGGCAGTTCAGACGGTTCAGACGGTTGAGACGATTCAGACGATTCAGACAGTTCCGACGATTCAACTGGTCCGAACGGTTGGAGAGATCTTCAGGTGGCCGAAATCGGGGCCCCATCTCGGTCCATCGGGTGGTAGAGGACGACCCAGAGGACGTGGAGGACGATAAGACAGGACATTAACGAGTTAAGATGAGTGGAAAGTCATCCAGAGCTGTTTGTAGTTCGATTGGATGTTGGAATGCAAGTATCTGACAATCTTACTCTACTCAATTGCTTTGCCCGGACAGAACAACCCGTACAACACAACCGCCCAGTCGCATGGCGCCATGGTACACTGAACAACTCCTGCAACATAAGAAGACTGCCACATACACTGGAGCGTGAAAAAAAACCACCTGATTTGCCCCTCCTGACGCTTGTTTCCAACCTGCAGTGCATTCTTCTCCGTGATCGTACTGTACTTTGTCAGCTGAACAAAGAGTAGAAAACCGCAGCTGGACTTTATGGTGAATCGAGTACTTGTTGAATCACTCCATCAAGTGATACGCAACCCAGTTCTTCAAATTTTCCCTTCTTTTACGGTTTTTTTCGCAAATTTTTCACCTCGTATTTCGCTCTCCATACCCCCAGCCAAGCCCGACCTCACGTCAACCCCGATATAGCGAAGGGGCAATCACCTCACGCTCTCAAGAAGAACCGTGGAGACCGTGGTTCCATACCCGTAGCGGAGTACCTACAGTTCAGAGCTCATCTTATGGTCTTTCCGCATTTGTAGCTATGTATGGGTTCTCCATCTGCTGAGTCAGCATCGTATAATAATGATATAAAAAGCCGCCAACCCATTGCAACAGACGACTCCCCCGCCCACAGTGCTCTCAGAAAGAGGTGGTGTTCATATTGACACCAATTCTACCATTGAGATCCACAAGTAGCCATCCTGTTGGCTCCTTCCCAACTAACATTTCACCTAAACATCAACTAAAAATTTCCATATAGTTAAAGAAAATGAAATGTTCTACAGAGCACCAGTAAAGGGCCAATGTACAAAATCCCTCCAGAGATCACCAACACCTCCCCAGTGATTGTATTCATGCCTTCTACCAACTCCCCCAGACCCCAAAAGGGAAATCAAAGACAGTTGAAACACGAGGCAAAATCACGAGGCATCGTCACGAACATCAACACGAGGCATCCGAACCTACTTGGACGGTAGAGAGGCGTGAGGCATTGAGAGTTTTCGAACCTGTTCAAACAAATCATGATCGTGCACTCATGGTCGTACAAGTAACTACAATTCAGACTACCGCTTGCAATTCAAAAAATCATTATCATAAACATAAATAAGGCGGAGGTTAGACATCGTCTCCAACGATTTAGACATTAATGGTGTTGAGCAGAGGGGAGTAGTTTCTCAGGAGAGTCTTCCAGTTAGTAACGGGCTCTTCACCGTTGACGGGACAGGGCATACATGTCAGGGTCTTGAGGGACTTCATTCGGCCAAAATACAGCACATCCTCCATGACGTCGGCAATCTGAATCGACTGGTTGAAGACAACGGTCTCAACGTTGGGGAAGCCCCAGATTCGTCGCAGGGGGATGGCGTCCTCACAGCCCTCGAATCGAGACAGATCCAGGTGCTTGAGTTTGGGGCACATGATGTTGGGGAGAATTGACTCGCCAAGATTGTAGATCAGAGCAGTGAGGTTGGGCAGCTTGATCTTGTCGAGGGTGTGCTCGCTGAGGGGGGTGGCCGATGAGTAGACGCAGTTCTTGATGGACAGGTACTCGAGAGAAGAGGAGCAGGCCATGACGGTGGCTCGGAGCTCCGAGGGTGAGATAGGAGCGTCGTAGAGACCGTCGACGGCAATGTACTTAAGGCTGGAGGTGGTGGGGACAAGTTGAGACTCCTCGTCGGTCACTTCGATGATGGAGGAATCGTCTGCCACGCCTCGATAGGAGAGTCGCAGAGTCTCGAGCTTGGAGGAGTTCCAGAAGACCGACAGAGAGAGAACGTCGCCTGAGACCACGAGGTCGAGGTGCTCGAGCTGGGTCATCTTACAGAAGAGCTGCTTTGCGGCCTTATTGGTGAGCTGGAGATGGCCCGAGAAAGAGGAGATGTTGTGTGCAAAGTTGAAGATTGTCTGAGGAGCGGGGATCTCGGCGGTGTAGTTTCTGTGGAGCTGGAGATGGCTGAGGGGCTGGGTGGTTCCTTCGGGGAGGGCGTACGAGACGTACTTTTTGAGGGCCACTTCGTTGAGAGGGGTTCGTCGATCCATGTGGATGCCGGCTTCTCTCCACAAGTCTCCCGAGCCGGTGATGATGGAGTTCCAGTTGCGGGAAACCTGGTGGGAGGCCACAAGGTCGTCGAAGGTGAGACACGAGAAGATAGCGTGGCAGATTTCTGTGGGCAGCACGTCGGTAAAGTCCTGGCGGGTATCGAGCTTCTTGGTGGCGGAGGACAGCTGCGCGGCAAAGTGAGAGTGGTGGTCCAGGGGGGTCATCATGGCGAGACCGCTCTGGAAGAAGGGTGTGGCCATTCCCGAGGGGAGAGCCGAGGGCATAGCCGAGGAGCAAGCTGATGTCATTTTGGGCTGTGTGTTTCGGTGTGACTAGGCTCGTTTCAGTCTAGTGTTTGGTGTCCGTCAATACTTGTTTAAGAGCAGTTGTCGGTTGGTTGGTGGTGTGCGAGTATTGGTGTATGTACACGAAGTTAGCGGAAGAATGAATATGAGTCTACCAGAAGGACTGCAACTGCCTCTGGCTATATATACCACACTAATCAGTCACCCGTTTTTTACTCCCCAATAACCTTCACGGGTGCCGCCAGGATGCGCTAAATCAGGTAATGCAACTCAGTCATGTGGGGAGAGTGTGGGGAGACAATCTGGGGTGATAAACGGGGTCTTCGCGCGAGTCAACTACTCGCCCTGGGGGAATCCGCCGACGCAAACACGTCGAAAATCCCGGAAAAACTCAACCAATTCCCCTCCTCATCGCACTATACGTCCGTACCTGTACTGTGGGGGCCTGCAATGGGTCACGAGTGGGTCGGTTTTGGGTTTGCACTAGCGTATCTGCAGCAAGTGTCGGAAGAGAGATATGGACAATCCAGACATATCGTTGTGATCGCATTGACGCGGGGAGTGCACTGGTACTCTCCGTTTCTCCGTATTCCCCCGCCATCCCATCCCATCACCTTCCAAACTCCCCTGATTAGGTTGGCCAAAAAAAGTGCACCGATAATGGGAAACGTTAACCTTGTGGCTAGCATTCCCCTTTGGGACTTCCGCCACTCTCACCACGCACGCACTTGACGGCATCCCAAAGAGGCAGCGGGGCGAGCTGCCAACCATCGACCAACTTGTAGCGGCACGAAAAAGCAGCTAATCACAGGAATTTCTTCACTCGCGCGTGTGGCATGGATTTTCAGGGCGCGTCTCGGCTGATTCCATAATCCCTCCATGTTCCTACGTGCCCCGGAAGCACAGTAGATCCTTGTACAAGTACAACCCCTTCTCCTTGCTCACTCTATCCTCGAGTGTGCCAACCTTAGATGATCGCGAGACGGAAAATGATGGCATGTTGAGACCCGACAACAGCCCTTCGATCCGCATCGGGTTGCTGTTTGCTCGCACATAGCTGTCACGTGACTTGCTCCCTGGCTCACTCTCCCGCCGGTTGCTACGTCCGAGGCAGTGTTAACTGAGTACCTGTCTACTGTATGTACTGTAGGACTTGTACTGGCTTCCCCAGTCCGTGTCTCACCGGTGCTTCCAAACTGCGCGTCAAATGGTGGACTGAGACATGAAGTGGTGGTGACTCTTGGGAAGAAGGCGGGTGGCCAAACTTTCGGGGTGGTAGGGCCGATTACGACTCCCACAGGACTCTCTCCACGAAATTCAAATGGTGAAAATTTTGAAAACAAAGATCGAAACCTTGAAGATCTTTGCGGGGTCCAAACATGGAGCGGTGTTGCTGGATATGGGGGTCGTGGGGCCTTGGGCGGTTCCATAGCAACCTCCGAGAGCTCTCTCAGAGCACTCAATGCAGCTCCTCTTCTCTCCGTCGCATCACGGCTGCAGAACATCGGTCTAGTGTGTCTCAGTGTGTGTGTTTCAGTCCTTCGATGAGGTGCAGCCACTCCGATGACGAAAATACGGAGGCTGAGTCTAAGAATGAAGATGGAATGAGAGATCAAGCTGGAAGGCGGATGATGGTCGCTGGTGACGGGGCTGGCTTCGAGACCATGGTTGTTGGGGACGGGGCTGGAAGAGGGACGGTGCTGGAGCTGCGGTTGGAAGCGGTATGGTGAGGATCGAATACTCGTGCTTTTACCGGTGCTGTACGCACTGACTTGCACCTCTCCGTCATACTCTCAACTCCGGCTCTCTTCGGAGGTCACGTGCGGTACCTACATGGCCAGGCACCACGAGACTTTGAAAGAGCAAGAGAGATGACGTGAGATGGGAGCAAGCCTGACGAGTTGCTACCAGAATACGAGCAATCAGAGAAAGCAACCGTTGCTGTCTGGTACGAGGTACCTGGACGTCATTCCGAGCGTCTCTGACCCCGTCTCGCGGTTATGTCAACTTCTCCTCCCTCTTGTCCTCCAACACTGCACGGCTTTTTAGTTTTTCGGCGATCGGCACAGGACCTGACTCAACTGGGCACTCCACAAACCCAGCGACAGACACGCTCCAAAACACGTCCAACTCTATCACTTGTCGTCGACCTGTGACGCTTTCCGCCGCGCGCTGTGAGTTATTACTGCTTTGGGAGCCGTCACGAGAATGGTCCAGACAGAAGGCGGTTAAAGAGAGCGGCTGCCGGTCAACCTGTTGGAGAGAGTAGTTGCGGAAATCTGGGGGGTCTAAGACTTGTTGCTCCAAGAATCCGCACCCGACCAGTCCAAAGCCGCTCGTCCGCCATCTTGGCGACTTTTGGTGTTTGGCGCGCTTGCTCTGTCCTGGCTCTCTCTTTCGGTCCTCACGATGTCCCATGTTTTTCCGATTTATGCCGAGGCTCGCTTTATCTCGCACTATCAAAGTTTGGGGGCCAACTGTAGTGGGTTCGAGTTTCCATCGTGTTGTTTTTTGGATGGTAATTGCACTACAGTTGAGTACTCTTGCGAGTGAGAGACGGGAATCATTTCACAGATAGACAAGAGTCCATTCGGTTGTAGATCTGATACCATTTTTCCATCGGAGGTATCTACATCAACTTTGGTAGTTGTACATACTTGCATTGTAGAGGTAGAAGTACTTGTTTGAATGAGACTTGACATATGATTTTATACGGTACGATATTGTACAAGTACTTGACATTGTTTTGCTGGTCTGTTTGAAACCGCTTGACGCCTTCCGTATTTTCCCTCAATTGACGCCTTTTGGAACAGCTATTTGGGATGCGAATACTCGATCAAGCATGGCATTCTGGATGGGAACATATATGGGCCGAGGAACAAAAAGGATATGAGAGGAAGAAGCAGCTACAGTCCAAGTGCAAGTGCAAGTATCTGTTCTTCCTCCACTTCTCAAAATCGACCTCCACGAACGATACGCAACTTTTACAAGATATATTGTACCCACAGTCCTCGCTTTGACCATACAAGACTGAATGTCAGGTGGTACATCAAACCTCTGAAAACTGATGGGGCCAGTGTTGAACTCATCTGTCGCGCAACCCACACGTTTTTGACCCCGATGCTCCAACTACATAGGAGCTATAAGTATGTATTGAACATACGTACAGTAACAGTACGACGTAAAACAGAGAAGGAAAGCAGAAAGAAGTAAGATCGCACTATGGATCTTTCAAATTCAACTGTCATTATTGGGTGTAGAACCATCCACCCAATTGAACCGACTCATACTATTCTCCGGCGGTCGCTTAGAGTCAGCCGTCTTGATCTCATGGTCAACCGTCTGGCGGGGAGTAGCTCCTCTGGCAAGTCAACAACATTTTAATCAGATACAGTCAATCCATCTTAGCGGCATGATCTGAAGCAGTTACGTCATAGTCATCGTATGTTACGTTCTTCACAAACACTAGGAACATGTAGCCTTCCAGCGAGTAATCTTCTCCACGTCGACCACCAACGGAGTACGCTTGAATGATCCTGCCAGAATGAGATATATATCCATTGGCGACATCAATCCCGTAACATTCCAAATATCCAACAATCACCACCTATCGCTCGTGCGTTTCTTCACGTGCATTTCTTATTCCGAAATGGATTATCTCGCATAATCTCGCATATCGAAACTTGGCGCAGACAAGCCAGACAACCTACCATTGTTCAGTTGAACCCAGAACGCCCCAAGAATTGTAGAAGGTATCCAGTAAGGTAATACTGGCCAATTCCTCACATAGAGAGGAGAGGAGCCTGCTTGGTCGTAGACGAGATGTCCATCCTGTACTTCCAACCAAAAACGCTTACCACTACTGCTGCTGACAACACATACAGTCTAGTACCTACTGTCTCCCAAACTCCAGCATCCTATCCACATTGCTTTGTGATCCTCAACAGCATATCGGAAACTGATTCTGTCATCTCCATCAACTGGACCCGCTCCATCTCCTCCGGGGGTGTGTCGGACAAATCATCGTGAGGCAGCAAAGAGGATGATTGGTGCGAGTATCACCACTTTCCTTGTACTTTTGTGAACTATCAAGGGCTCTTCCAGACTCCGAAGTTCGTCTCGGTCCATGGGCTATTCCAGACTCTGAAGTTCGACTCGGTCCAAGGGCTATTCTAGACTATGAACTTCGCCTCGGTCCGACAATTTAGACGATATTGCTCCTATTAGGCCTGCTCAAGGCACATACGCACACTCTCTTCCGTTACCGCGATCCGCAGATGGGCTCTACAAACAAACCAAGTTGAAATTCACACAGGACAGCACATGTTCACCACTTTTCTGAGAAGTCGTCTTTTGGAGTCGCATCCCTTCACCCATTGTCAGTGATGATCACCAAGACACCCCCAGTCAATATCCGAGGGGCCAACGTCTGCCGTCGGCTTTCTGAAGCCGACCCCAGAAAAAGCTGGACCGTCATTATTCATGTCTCTATGGAGTCAAGCCTGGGTTGTTTCAGCCGAGGTCTTTGTTTCTGCCGCCTGCTGCCTCGCTTTACTTGCCGTCGATATCTCGAACCCTACCTACATATCAGAAATCAGAGAGAACATAAGCGACCAGAAAAAAAAAAGGAACCCAACTGCTGTGCAATTGGAAGCAATGACAACCGAGAGATTCGAACTCTCGCCTCCGAAGAGACCAGGATATTGATTCAGTCACCTGAACCTGGCGCCTTAGACCACTCGGCCAGGTTGCCATTTTGCTGATGACTAAGATAAAGTTGCCAAGGAGATGTAAATTCGGATTAAAAAAAATGTAATGAATCATTAGAATAAAAAAAACAACAACAAAAGAAACAACAACCAATTAATGAAGCATTAGAATAAAAAAAGTGAACCAGCGAACACGAATGTCATGCGCCCTTCTGAAAAACAGAAGCCGAATCCGATTTGTGGGTATAGCATTGTCTTTAGGCTTAAGTAACCGAGAAGTATTTCCCTAGAACAAAAATAAATACCAATAAATAAAAAAAATAAAAAAATAAAAAAATAAAAAAGATGAAAAACTAGTTTTTTCCTGCATCGTATCAAGTAAGAGTAAATGACATGGAAATGGACTGCAAGTAGTTGAAGTTCACTCGCCCCCGCAGTCCGTAAATCTTTTGTTGGACACAAGACTCGACGTAGACGATGTATAGGACATAATACTCAGACATCCTGCGACGGAGAAATCGGTCTTAGAATAAGTATATAAGTCAAGAGTCTACAGGCTCATTAAATGGGCTTTGACCGGATACACTATGCTGTACAGTACATACAGTAGCCAAAGTACCCTCCTCTAGTTATGGGTATTACGAACAAACAATCTGGTAATGGCATGGAGAAGGGAAATTCTGGTGTAGTAATTCAAATAAAACATGTGTCGGTTCAAAAGAAACCCTGGATAGCCCCCAAAAGACACTTTCTTGGGTGCTTCTGCCCAATGGGTACCTACAAAGTGACATCATCTCAGCTCTATGGGTATCTACAGAGTGCGTGCCATCAACTCGACCAATTCTCATCCGATCGAAACGGGGACTTGACCACTGTAATTAAATTGGTTTTATATCTATATCTGTCTCTTTAAAATACCTTTGTTTATTCTCGATCACATTCTACCCATCTGAACTGGACCCACGTTAGATTCCCCAGTTTGGTGATACTATCTGCCAAAAGTTTTTTTTTTTTATTTTTTTTTATTTAATATATGGATCAGGACCGGGAAGTTCCGAAATCAAGGAACAAAATCGAGCAACAGACTGAATTGTACTGTTCAAACTCCCTTTTTTTCACACAACGGTTCGTCCCTTCCCATATCCCATATGAGTATGATGTCATCCCATCCCATCACCACCATATCAAACTCTTCTCCACAGAGTTACCCTACCGTATGCAGACCACCATCACCACTGTGCAACCCAACTAGCCAGTGCACCAGTACAACACACGACACCGTACAGACACAAAACCACCCACTTGCGGACATCAGCAGTGGATCATTCGTGACACGTGGCATTTGTGATTGTTCCTCGACTGCGGATCAAGCGTTCGACAAAGACTACATCCTCCTACACGTCAGATTGTGAATCCGTGAGTCAATAACACTGACAACATGTGACTCCACCGAGGTCGTTCAACTAACACAGACACAGACAGAGAACCAACAGTGGCGATAGAACGACAGTGAACGCGATAACTGAGACGACACGACTACGACACCGAAGACGACACACGACACTCACCACGACAAACATACAGGATCTGTTTGTGCTCAACAACACGACTAATCACACTCCAGCATGTCAATCGAATTACGGTCCCCATACTCGGGGTCGCTCAAGGAGTGCATTCAGGATCTGGTGGTGCGGTTCATCATCAACGTCCCCAAAGAAGACCTGCAGACGATCGAACGAATCTTCTTCCAGATCGAAGAGGCCCAATGGTACTACGAGGACTTTGTGCGAGAACTCAACCCCAAGCTGCCCTCCCTAAAGATGCCCAAGTTCGCTCAACACATCTACGAGTACTGCCCCCAGCTGTGGAACATCAAAGACATCAAGTCGTCAATCAAGACCTTCAGAGACTACAAGCTCGCCATTCCAGTGTGCGGAGCTATCATCATGACGCCCAAAATGAACAAGATTCTTCTTGTGCAGGCCTACGACGGAAACTCGTGGGGTTTTCCCAGAGGAAAGATTGGCAAGGACGAATCTAAGGAAGAATGCGCAGTACGAGAAGTGTACGAGGAAATTGGCTTCGATATTTCGCCTTACCTCAAACCCGACAAGTACGTGGACATTAGAATGAAGGGCAAGGACTTCCGGCTGTATTTAGTGAGAGGTGTACCTCAGGATACCGTGTTTGAGACACAGACTCGAAAGGAAATTTCGAAGATCGAATGGCGTGATCTCAAGAGTATGCCTGGATATGCCCGAAAGAAGGGCTCCTCCAACCATTTCTTCATGGTCACTCCCTTTGTGCCTGGGCTGTTGAAGTTCATTGCCCAGGAGAAGGGTCTGGAGGTCAATGACGTGGGAGAAACCGACAATGTGGGCGAGACTGATGCTACAGAGTCAGCAGTGGAGCCTGCCAACCCCACACCTGAACCCGTTAACCAGACGTACAACCAAAACCAGAACTCAACCCCTGCCCCTCCTTCAAACCTGCCGTTTGCTCCCCCTCCTTTCTTTGGCAACTTTGGCCCTACTCCCTTTGCACCACCCGGTTTTGGACCTCCCCAAGGCTTCCCCATGCCATTCATGGGTGCTCCAGGACCCGGTATGCCTCCTCCCGCTCAGTTTTCCCAGTTCCAGCAGATGCCCCAGTTTCAGGAGTTTCAAGAGGAGCTCCAAGAAGCTGTTGGAGAGCCGGAACCTGTTCAGGAAGTTGCTGCCGAGGTGGCAAAGCCTGTCGAGCCTGTGGTTACACCCAGGGCCCCCCCTCCTCCTTCCCAGCTGCTGCTGGAAGGTGCGCTTCGTGCTAGAAAGAGAGACATGTCCAATGCTCACTCTTTGCTGAGCACGCTGAGATCAGGAGGTCGCGCATCTTCTCCCGGTGCCAGCCATATGAACGCAAACGCTTCCTCGGGCAAGGCAGAGTCGCTCATGGCTCTACTTAACAACCCTGCTTCTTCCAGCAAGCCGGTTGTTCGGGATCTCGACTCTACCAAGCCCAAGGCCTCTTCTGGCCTGTTGGCTCTTCTGAATACTCAACCCAAGCCTCCTCAGAAGGAGGAGAAGAAGACTAAGCCCAGTGATGCTCTTCTTGGCTTGTTGACTAAATCCAAATCGACAGATTCAGAACCCGAAACCCAGGTGAACACACGCGTGCCTTCTCAGGTTCCCAGTCCTAGCAACGGTTCTGCTGAAGTGACCAACCTCAACCCCGTTCACACCCAGGAAGTCATCCATAGCCCTGCTTCTTCCACCTCGGCTATCGCCAGCCCTGCCAACCCCAGCCCTGGGCCACTAGTCAACCCCAGCCCTGTGTACCCTGCTCAGTCGTTGCAGAGTCCAAACCCGGTTGGTACTCAGGTCTCAAGTCCCAACCCTCAGACCTACCCCAACAATCCTGGCTACCCCAACTCGGCTTCTACCTCAGGCCTAATTTCGTCTGTGCCCTCGGAAGTTGATATGCTCCGTCTGGTTTCCCCCCAGGGAGCCACGCCTCAAGGAACTACTCCCCTGCCCATCTCCGAAGCTGAATTGGTGGCTTCCCTGACCTCTCAGGTCTCTTCGCCCCAGATTGGAACTCCTCTCACCGAGCAGGATCTCATTAGATCTCTCCAATCGCAGTCAGCCACTCAGCTACAGGCCCAGCTTGAAGGTACAAGCGAAGGAGGCGATGGTCTTGGACTGAAGGCAGATGGCGGAAGCGGAAACGGACTGCTTTCGTCCATGGGTCATCTGCATATGCCCTCTCAGCCCACTTCTGAGTACGTCTCTGAAGTGGAGTCTGTTCCTCCTGCTCTTGCTCCCAAACCCGTCCGTGCAGTGCCGAAGCCCTTGTCCGAGGCTGATCTCATTAGCCATCTGAAGGCTCAGAAGCTCGATGATGACGACAGCGATATGAGCCGAGACATTAGGGATATTGATGCCGGATTTGGACGAGACAGTTCCCGTTCTCGTGAACTCCGGGAGGAGTCGCGTCATCGTAAATCTCGTGACAGTCCTCGTGAAGTGACAAAGGCTTCGCCTGTCTCTTCTCAGCTAGATGCTGAGTTATTGGCTCTTCTCAAGCCCTCAACTCCCCCTCTCCCTTCGACCAAGACCGAAGACAACGAACTCATGGGTCTTTTGAAGGGCGGTAGTGAGTGGAGACCCAGAAAGAGTGCAAAGCCCAAATCTGAGCACAAGCCCAAGGTCGAGGTCCAAACCAATCAGCCTGTTAACGAGCTCATGTCTCTGTTGAAGAGCCCTTCTGCTGTTTCTTCAACCACCGCCACTCCTACCACCCCTCATCCCAACCCTGTTCCTGTTCAAGCAGTTCAATCTGGATCGAGTGAGCTGTTGAGCATGCTGAAGGGTAACCAGCAGCAACAGCCGCATTACCAACAGCAGAAGGCTCAACATCAACCTCTGGCTCAGCCTAAAAATGAGCTCTTGGACATGTTGAAGGGGAGTGGACCATCCCAGGTTCAAAGCCCAGTTCAGCCTCAGCCTCCTCAGTCGTCTCAGCAGCCCAACGAGCTTCTGCAGATGCTCAAGGATGCTGGATCCGGTGGCTCTCCTGCCCCCGTGCAGCAACCTGCTTTCCAAGACCCTGCCATTGTGCAACAGTCCAAGCCCTCCGCTTCGGGGTCGCTTCTGTCCTTGTTGAACCGTGGTAAGTAGATATGAGTAGTAGTGAATGGTATGAGATATGAAAGAGATAGTGTTGGATGCGGTGGTATACAGTATAGCACCAAACAGTACAATATTGTAGCTTGATGAGTGGATGTCTTGATCAAGATTGAACCATCTATTGAGGATTGGTCATGGAAGTTGTCAATTAGTCTGCGGAATGTTTTCTGTTCCAAGGTACAAGACGCTTCTAAGACAGTTATGGACTTTTCTGGACAAACTACGGCCCAGTTGGAGGAGTAAGGGTCCAAGTCGTGGAGCTTGTAGCGTTGAAATGTTCGTGAGAAAGACATCGTTGAACTCCGCTGTTGTTGAAAATGACTGTTGTAAAGATCAGCCGTTGATGTCGTCTTCCAACAATATTCTTACGCTCGTATTGATACTGCTGAAGAGCAAGGGGAACTTTCCGCTGATGAAACCCTCAATATGTATGAACGGTTGGCACCCAGGGTATACTGACGGGTAGGCGACTCAGGACGGAACCGTCCATCAACTTCTTCAGAAATGAGCAGATGGTTATGACAAGTTCCCCTAGACAAGTCAGTAGCCTATCATCCTCGAAAGTGGTTTCCAAGTCGACTTTACTAAAGAGGTTCTGCTTCTGGAGGCTGTGAAACTCCGAGTCGTAATACTCCGAGTCGTACTCCGAGTCGTACCCCGAGTCGTACCTCAAGTCGCACAGAGACTACCTGACTCGAGCTGACTGAATCACGAACAAGTGAGGTTCTTTCGTTTGCCATGTTGACTGGACATGATGACGGGCGACACCATCTCTCTCCAGCGCATACACCCACCCTCGACTGACTTTTACACAGTTCCGACAGGAAGAGGTGGGTGGGTAAGAAGAAATCTGCATCCTATATGCCTTGAAGCCAGAGAAGCACACACCTTCAAAGGGACCTAGCTGTTGCACTAACGTATCCAAGGCTGTTCCGGGATCGCATGGTACTGGCAGCGCGTACAGACAGCGCGTACAGGCAGCATGTATTGACAGCGTAGTGCTACTCTGATATCAAAAGTCGATGGAATGGATCCACAACAACTAAGGTGCCCAGGCTACAATAGCAGAGGCGGTGTCCTCGGACGGCTTCTTCAGCCAGTCAGAGGGGGAGAGAGGCAAGTGGGTAGAAGACTTTCTCACCGAAGAAGACTACCTCAGTGATTTCAACAATAACGAGAGTCCCACCGATCCTGAAGTCGAGGAGGAGTCAGACGCTTTGTCCAACTTCGACGTTGGTCTCGAAAAGCTCTCATGATTGAAGAAATCAACCTCAGAACACCCACAGGCTCATACACCGAGCTGAATCAACTTGGGACGAGCCCATTGGTAGTCCTGAGCAAGTCAAGACGGCCCCCTCTTCTACCTTCTCGGCTTCAACTGAGTGGGAAGAATGTGACATCGAGACCCAGTTCACCTCATCTCTGGACTCACCAAATGCCATTCACTACTGCCACCTGTCTCTAGCCCAGCCATCTGGAGAAAATCAAGACAAGCGTGGAAAGCTGCTTTTTGACAAAGAAACCTGCTTCAAGAAGGTCACTGGCAGCAAATGGTCATTCGTTCATCGACCCAGGGTTCGTGATTCCGTACTGTACTGTAGGTAACTAGGCTCGGAGGATATAGTTAATATGGCGGCCAATTCAATGATCGTATCGTAAACTCATCTATTGCTCTATGGCAGTCTACTACATCCTCTCTTGAACGCGGTATCTTGTATGCAACGACACATGTTGATAGACGAATGGCACAATTGCTGAACCAGACCGTGTATCCAATGCGATTGCACGCGGTGTCGTGGAATAATTGTTGAACCAGACCGTGTAACCAACGCGATTGCACACGGTGGGCCCCCTCTTTCGACTCATAGAGACAATCGACTCTCCACTTTACAGGCCGCTGAACTTATCCAACGCCTCGCCAATCTGCACCGTTTCGACGCACTGGTTGATGGCGTTGGCAACCTCCTCCTCCGTGCCGCTGGCGTCCACGGTGATACAGTTTCGCTGTGCGACTTCGTGGAACAGCGCCGCGACTCGTTTCTGGAAAGCAATCTTTTCGTACCGTTCTTCGCCATAGGCTCCTCTTTGGCTGGCCACCTCGGGGCTGACGGTCAGAAACAAGGTGATATCCGGCACAGGCAGACCCAGATCGGGGTTTGTGCACCATTGTCGCTCCAGACCCTTGGCCTGGGTGTACACAATGCCGGAGATGTAGTACCGGTCCAACACCACGTTTTCGCCCTTTTCCAGAAGCGCCTTGATATCCTCAATGCGTTCCCATCTATTCGCCGAGAACAACAGGTGGATCGCCTGGTCAGACAGAGCCACCCCAGAAGTCAGGTACTGGTTGATGATCTGGCCCATGGGTGTGGATCGGTCGGGGAACTTGAAGAGATGCGTCTTGTTTCCGGTAGTTTCCGTGAGATGGGCGACCAGCCGGTCACATTGCGTCGATTTGCCGCTGCGGTCGAGCCCCTCAATGGCAATAAAACGTCCTCTCATGGCGCGTGTTAGCGTGGAGATAAAGTGTAGTGTAACACACCAATTAATGCACCTGGAGTCTATTACTGTAGCTTAATAATATATGGCAATATTAGAATTAAGTAAGTTCTAAATAAAATCCAACTAAATTAAATGCATGTGATTAAGGAATGGCGATATTAGTAAGCAAAACAAGAGGCGCAGGGGGATCGAGGAGCTTTTCACGTGACTGCACACATAGGTAATATGGTCACGTGACGCCCAAAACGCACTTCCGGCTGATCTGGTATGCGTTGTTCCATCGCGTATTGGATGTTAGTTTAATAATTGATTTTTCTGCCAAACTCAAAATATGCATATTAGTGATTTTATTTCTAATTTATTTTTTTTTAGTTTTTTTTTTACCATCTAACTGAGTATGAAGGACTTCGGTATCCAGCGGTTCGAAAAGAGTCCCAATCAGCTCCTCGAGAGCCTCTCGTTGTTCATAATCGCCTCGATTGATATACGCCAGCGCGTAGCGGTTTAATTGGGGATATCAATGATTTTGGCAGATCCTGGTATCCATTTTTGGGTGTTTGGTGTCATGACAAGTTCAGATTTTGGGTTTGACATTTTCTATATATTTTAGCTTTCATTTTTTACCCAAATTGTTTCACATTTTTAGTCGTTTTTATGTCCTCCGACATAGTGAACCAATACTTCTTCTTGATAGAGGAAAAAACCGCTGATGATATATATTATTCCACGAAATATTCCCCTCCGCCCGTCGATTTGGAACTCACTAAAGGCTCAACAGAATTGTTAGAATCCCGGTGGATGTCTGGTCTTAATAACTAAAACATTCCAATATCCCAACTATATTTAAACCTCATGTCAAGTAATCCCAACAAAACCTACACATTTTGAACTAACTCCAACTGGACATACTCTCAAAAGAATACCAATCAAAACAGCCGGGTTTCCCAGTCATTGTGCTGATACAAGTGCTCCAAACCACAAGTGCCGTACAGTATCACGTTTTGCAACTAAAGGTTTTAAGTTTTTCCTTTTTTCCTTTTTTAGTATTTTAATATTATTATTTTTTATTCTAATGTTTTTTTTTTTATTCTATTGATTCATGTTTTTTTATTTTTATTCTAATGATTCATTACAGCCTTTTATTTTATTCTAATGATTCTTTTTTTTTTTTATTCTTTTTTTTTTTTTATTCTAACGATTCTTTTTTTTTTTATTCTTTTTTTTTTTTATTCTAACGATTCTTTTTTTTTTATTCTAATGATTCATTCTATTTTTCTCCGGCTTATCACAGTTGGTCGTATACGGTGAACCTCGACCCCATCTCAAGGGCGTCTGGTGTAGTTGGTTATCACATGCGCTTAGCATGCGCGAGGTCCCCGGTTCGATTCCGGTGTCGTCCAGTCACGTGCCAGTCACGTGTTTTTTGTTTCTTTCAGGTACGATATTTTTGCTTCGTTAAACAAATGCCGTCTGAGTAGTTGGAACAAATAGGGTCTAAACAAATGTCTTTCTGTTTAGTTGGGATAAGGCCTGTTAATAGTTGAGTTTGGTTGATCTGGATACTGGAACTCCTCTCAAACATGAGAGACGAGATGGGTCGCTCATTAAATACATATTGATGTTTGACTAATGTAATTATTGCGATTGTTGTGATTGTTGCCATTATTTAGCCGTATCATTTCTCTTAGTCAAAGTATTGGCAAAGAAATGCCCAGGTGTTTGATGATCTCTAGACTCTGAATACTGAACAATAATGGTCAATTTAATGCATGTTGAATTCGGAATCGTCAACTGAGTGTGGTACTACATTGTGTGAATGTTTACTAGGCAGGGAGGAGAGGTCGACAAGTCCGTGTTCTGTTGATCATTCGGGATACTGGCTCGCAAGAGAACGTCACGATTGGCATACGACCAACTAACGGAGCACTCGGAGTCAGGAAAGAGTTAGTCGAGTTGGACGGCGAACTCGAGATCAGGAAAGAGGTTTAGTCGACTGGAGGTAGCGGTTTGAGACAGTACCAGCAAAAATTCGACAAAAGTCCAACAGATTTCAGCCTCACAGCCGAGATCTCAGTCCAACAGCTGCGAAATCAGTCCAACAGTTGCGATATCAGTCCAACAGTTGCGATATCAGTCCAGTTGGGGACTCCAGTCCAAATTCGACGACCTGAACACTCGGCGACTCATTGAAATACCGGTTGGTGTTTCTGGACAGGTGTCAATGGACGATTCGTGGAGAAAGCTCACTTGTGGAGATGGGTATCTGGAGACACCGAAAGAGATCAACTTGTAGGTATTGTTTTGAATGCTTCTCTGGGTGGTTGCGCACCCGCTCTATCCTTCGAACACAGGCCCCAGGGTGATGTGGGATATGGTCAATGAGATGTTTGCCAACAAGTACCAACTTCGTGAAGACGAAGATCCACCTTCCACCTTGGTGATGGGCCAGAGACGCGAAGGACGACATCCAACAACAACAACAACAACAACAACAACAACAACCGCAGCAGCAGAAACGATACGAGGACTGCGCTTCTGAGGCTGGAAACAGCAGTGTTCAGCTTATGGTCAACGAGAAACACAATCTCGCTCCGGACTGCTACAAGCCGTCTAAGACTACACAAAGCTAACAGACAAATGTAGGTCTTAGATGGAAGGGGTCTAAGCTCATCGGAAAGAACTCCTCGGATACCTCCGAGTGTGCAGCCCACAATTATAGGGTCGAGACTGAAGTCAGGATGCAGTCGTCGAGATCGCCGAATTGAGCAGTGTCAGGAACCTGAACAGCTGAATGAAGATGCCGAAATGAGAGCTAGAATTAAGCCGAAAGAGCTGGAACTGGAACTGGAGCTGGAATTGGAGAGTGACGATTCCCTACAAGTTGGCAATGGTACTGGCCCAGTCATTCTCTGTCTATTTCATCGAAGAGCATCTGTGGGGTGAGTACTACCCTGTAGTACATTGTGCTGTGTCCTTGTGGATTAGTGCCACTCTAGAGGCTATATAGACAGCAATGGTATACCATTCGCACAGCAGTTTCACTGTATAGTACACCATGGGACTCTGATCCTCTCTACCGAGGTCTGGTTGGTTTTGACAGGCGTTTTTATCAGGCGTTTTTATCAGGCGTTTTTATCAGGCGTTTTTATCAGGCGTTTTTGTCAGGCGTTTCAATCAGACATACAATCAGACGATTCGGTGCATCAATCATGCTTGTAAGATGAGGATAGTCAACATGCTCCCCAAGGACATGACCCTATCGGCCATTTGACGAGCGGGTCCCATTTTTGTCTTTGTTTTCAGTTTTGTCAGTTTGTCAGTTTGTCAGGTTCGTCTTTTTTTTTTTTTTTTTTTTTTTTTTTTTTTTTTTTTGTTTCGATGTCGCTTTTTATCGTTTTTATGCTTCTCGTTTTCATGCCATTCTTGTCAACTAAAGGCTAACAAATTGCGCTTCAAATCGGCCAAAGCTAGTTGTCGCCTCAAGGAATTCCAAGCCAAGACCGGCCAAGAACAGGGTAGGGAGAGAAGTAAGCGGACTGCTTGCGGTCAAACTCGCCGATGGAAACAGCGGGTGGAGCGAGATGTTTCCGATTGCCACCGAAAAACGCGCTCAATCCAACATCGGTCTAGACCCACCGTCTGTCTGACGATATTGCCACATGTCCACCTGCACCCGAATCACCTCCTCCCGAAAACAATAAAAGCCTAAATCACGTGACCCCAGGGAACGCTAATCTGGGTCTTTATTTTTGTATATATTTTTTTGATTTTTGTTTGTCTGTGCCGAGACAGGGTCTGGCGGGGATGGGAACAAGAATGAAGCGGAAAAAGCGGCCACAAGAATTGAACTGAGGATAGGTGGGCGGATGAACTAAAAGTAGTGGGCGGACAGGACTGTAGGGAAGAGTGGCCAATATGAGAACCCGCAAGTGTTCATACCCGCAGAAGTTCATACCCACATGATCAACCCGCAGATGTCAACCTGGAGGTCAACCTGCAGACGTCAACCTGCAGATGATCAACCTGCAGTGGTCAACCTGCAGATGGTCGACACCTGCAGATGGTCAATCTTGCAGATGGTATAGACAATTGTCAATGGATTCGCCCTAGACTCAAAATATCGCCATCTGAACTGTGAATTTGAAGAATTCCATCTCGATTTGTCTGAAGAATCCCTAGATTCGTCTGAAGAATTCCACCTCGATTCATTTAAGGAGCATCTCGATTCATCTCTCTAGCATCTCGACTATCTAAAGAGGTTGGACTTGCACCTACGAACCTCCGCCAGTGCACCAAAGGAACAGCAGATATCTATAGCCGGTACGTACTCACCGATACAAGTATTCGCGCATATTCTCACATATTCACACAACACTCATTCTTGCTGGTGCATGTCCTGATGCATAGACAGAATGTCGGATCTACACACCACTTACAGCGCTGGGATCACATACCATGACTAATCCACTTATGACTAATACAAAAACAAGACCAAACGACAACCATCCCCCGAAAACAAGACGACACAAGAAAACCAACCGAATATCCTCAAAAACATACCCGATCAACCGCCCCCGAACCTCCCCCCTCTCGTATTACCCCACCTGTCGCCTGACACGCTAAACCTAGATTTCCCCACACGATGCATCGGTGAAACGTGGGGAGGTGTCAATCCAAAAAACAAAGAACCAAACAAAAACCACCAAACGAAAAAACACCAAACGAAAAAACCAAAGATAAAAACCGCTCGCATCTTCCACTCAGACCATACGTACATCGTAGACGTGACGGAGCGACCCCGGAGATGGACCCGGGAATAGATGCGACAATAGCCCGGCAATAGACCCGGCAATAGACCCGGCAATAGCTGTGGGCGTCGAACGTTAGTATAGGCGCCAACATCCTTAGTCACCTCGGAAAAGCATGACGTTTTGAACGACCATAAAATACCGTACTCGTAGACTGTTGGCACGCCCTTCTTTCATCATGATGGCACCCAAAATATCCTCACTCCAACCTCCTCACCTCCACTACCTGCAACCCCCACTGCTGATCGTGTGACAAGTGAAACACCCCTGAAGCGTGTGTTATGATATGACCTGAAACAGCGGGTAGCTAACCGTATTGGACGGCTAGTACTTGTACATGAGACCCAAATCAGAACCAAACCTACCAGACGCCTCAACCGGATACTTATGACCACCCTTGCCATCTGACCACACCAATACGGGTGTGGCAGAGAGAATACGGCTACGGCTACGGCTACGCAGAGGGGACACTACACATACAAGTACATACTCTACTGTACATACATATTGTGGGTACAGTCCTACTGCAGTATTTTCTGTACCCTAACGTGATACCATTGCAACGACAACCAGAGAAGAGCCCAGGAAGAGTCATCTCCAGACTCTTGATCATCACCAGTAATCCATCTATCTACACACATCCAGTCCAAAATCTATTATGCTAAGAAAATCAATCAATGCTTCATGCGAAATCTAAATCCGGGCACACCCCAGGTATGTAGTACTGTGTGGTACAAACAGCAGTGCACCCATGCAATAAATAATCAAGTCCACCATGTCCCATCCATTCCATATCCAACCTCCATCCCAAATAATACCAAATGTCCCCAAACGAAGAAAAAAAGAATAGTGTTCTTAGCTCTCAGTCACCAAACACTCGTTGGCAACCAGCTGCACAAAGTTCTGTCGCACCAAGTAGGGCTTGTTCTCGCAGATGGTGATCTTGTTGACCCAAGACGAGTACCGCTGGAACCGCTTCAGGCACCGAGTCGCATACTTGAGCTCGGCCTGCTCGCTCATCTGCTCCACCTCGGGGTCCCATCGTTCCTTGCAGGTCTGCTCGTGGGAAGACCGGCTCATGGTGGTGGCCGAAGAGGTGGCAGAGTCCATGTCCGACGAGAAAGAGTCCGTAGAGTGCACACTCATGTCGTCAGACATGTGCGAGTGCGTGGATGCGTTGGAATGCGAGTATGCAGGAGAAGGAGGCGAGAGAGGAGAGTCCAGAGGAGGGGTCGCGGGCACAAAGGCGTTGCCTCGGTTGGCCGGCACCCGCTCAGTGCTAGATCGATCGGCGCTAGCTCGATCTCCACCGGCTCTGTCGCTGCTTCCGCGATCGGCGCTGCCTCGTCGGTCAGCGCCCTCAGAGGTGCTGTTGCCTCGAGGACGCCGCAAGTTGGCTAGCAGTCTGAATGCCGCAATGGAAGAGGTGCTCTTAGACCGCGATCGGGTCTCCTGGTTCGAAGGGCTAGGCACAGGAGCCACAGTGGAGTAGGCCCGCTGCCGCTGCGAAACGTTGCCGGCGGTACTTCGATCTCGACGCCGACGCGGTAGAGACCGCACCTTGGGCAGCTCCCGGTGTTCCAGAGGGAGAGCCAGATCGATTCCGCTCTGGATAGCGTTGGCCCACTCGATGCAGTCATGGGGCGATCCAAAGTGGATGAGGAACTGCATGGACTCAGCACGCACTCGCAGGCAGTTGGCTCGCTTGGTGTAGTCGGCAGCGTGGCCGCACACGGCGTACTGGAGAGTGAATGCGAGTGGGGTCTGGGGGATCTCGACAATCTGCTGCGAGCTGTTGCTACCGTTGTCCTGCTTGAGAACCTGCTTGAGGTTGGAAATGGAGGGCTTGAGGGAGATGGACTTGGTTCGAGGTCGGGGAATCTCATTGTTGGCGATCACGAGTCGCTGCTGCTCCTTCTTAAGGGTGGGCTTGGCAATCATGAAGGGCTCGTCCAGAGGCTTGAGCTCCAGACAGGTGGAGTTGAGAGTCACGAGGCACACGACCCACGCCCGCTGGGACGATGACGTGAACGGCGAGGTGAACTCGAACTTGACCGGCACCCGGGCCTGTAGGAAGAGCGCGGTCGAGTACTGTGGGAGGATGTAGTCTGCGGCGTCGATGGGGGGACTCTGGCCGAGTTGCGACTCCAGGGCGTTGTCGTCCAGGTTGAGGTTGAGAGATGCGAGGGCTTTAGTGGGCGGCGGCAACGGCATATCCATGGGTTTTGTGTTGGTTATTGCTGTGGTGGTGTCGTTTGTGTCGAATGCGATGGATGTGGGGTCGAACGAGACTTCTTTGTCGAATGAGACCTTGTCGAAGGCCAGCGACACTTCTTGTTCGAACGAGACTTCTTTGAATCCGGCCGGCTGAGCCGATTGTGCGAGAGTCATGGTGCGTGGAGAGAAGACTGTGGCGGTAATTAAGCTGTGTGCAGTCGCGGTAATTGTCGCGGTAATCGTCGATAAGTCGTCGCGAAATCGTCCGTGTCGTTACGCTGCAATCGGTGTTCCGTGTAACTGCTTGTGTAGTTGTCTTGCGTCTGTGTCGCACAATGACGTGTTGTTGATCTGTGTCTGTGTCTGTGTCTGTGTTTGTGTTTGTGTTTGTGTTTGTGTGTCGACGGTGTCTGTGTCTGTGTCTGTGTCTGTGTCTGTGTCAGTTGCGTTCGTCGACAAGAAGAAAAAAACAGGTGGTTCAGTGAAGATGTCTGTTTGTGTTCGCGCTCACCTCCTCATAAACAAGTTGCTAGGAGGCCAACCTTGCGAGAGTGAGTGAGTGAAATGACTTCAATTAACTGAGGCTTAGAGTTGCACTTTGCGTAACCTTGTCATGTGTCTGTGGTGTGCCTTGCAAGTTGAACTCTGGGGAGCTAAAAATAGCCGAGTTAATTCCGGGGAATGGGGTAGCGATAATACCGCCGAGTCCAGGACGGCCCCACATGCACCGCAGAACGGAGTCGACCGCGAAACCAGAGCCCAACCGCCTGAGCACCACCTCCAGATCACACCTGCATCCGGCTCGGCTCCTCTCCTCTTAACCGCGCACAATAAACCTTCCTCCTCCAACTTTGTGTATCTTGTGGGGGCACACTGCGCAAGGTTCGGGCTTACAAATGAGCCGGGTCAACCAAAATAACATAATCGCTTTCTCGAACAAAAACAAGGAGCTGCGGCGTCGGTAGGGGCTGTGGGGATGAACCAGTGGACAGATATGACACGCCGAGACGCGGACAGAACCCTACCCGATGCGCAGGCCCCAGCTTTGGAGCACAAAAATCCCGCTGTTTGCTTTTTCCAACATAGTGTTGAACCACCGGTGGGCTCACAACAGGCCAGGAATAGGTCTATCGGAGGGTAGCACCGGGCAGTGTGTTTAGCGCGCGAGATCGAAGTGGTAGGGACCTGAGTTCAGAGATGGTCGGCCGAGGTGGTCCACGGAGGTGGTCAACGGAGATGGTCGGAGATGGTCTTCCGAACTGGTCGACGGAGATGGTCTTCCGAACTCGACTTCCGAGCTCGTTTCCACAACTCGACTTCCGAACTCATCTCCACAACTCGTCTTCCACAACTCGTATTCACAACTCGTATTCCGCTTACCCCCACACTGACACATTCCTCAACGGTCCACGTCATAACGCCAAGTTATCAAGGCTGTGTATTTTGGAGTCTAGGCATTCAGCCCAATATCCGCCCTGGACACATAACCCTGGAAACAACTCTGGACACCCCCAGCACAGTTTGAATCCATAATCGCTAGTTGCCGACGCCGCCCTAATCGCCCACATCACCTGTTGAGAATCCATCATCTGATCATCTGATCATCTCATCACCTGATCCAGGTTCTACCCGCTGTTTCAGAACCGCTCTGTTTCAACCGCCTGTCCAAACATCCTAGTATCGGTACTCACTTGACTAATACTAGCGAATAAGCCCGTGCGAGACTAAATGGCTATATATTGGCCTCGGGGTTTGCGCCGACGCCTGGGATGCACATGGTGCATATCAGCTGTGTATGCCACTGTTGCTGCAGTGCGCCTTGCTTTGGATTTCTTTTGCGCCTCCACCTGCTTGCCTGCATGAGAGTGCATGACTATGCGTCATCCAGGCACGCCGGCCCGTTAGGGTTGCACACATGACGACTGCGGAAGTAGCATCGGAAATTTGGAAATTTGGAAAAAAAGGCGGAATAAAATAAAAAAGACGGACAAAAAGATGAAAATACAAAAAAGATGAAAATACAAAAAAGATGGAAATACAAAAAAGACGGAAAATACTAAACGTGCGGACTCTTGTGGCGACAAATGCTACTCATAAATATATGTTTTTCACACCTCATCTAAATACTCTCCTTTTCTTGTCGCTCCTTCATCATATTAGTCTACCGTTTTCCTTTGTTTTATTGTGAATAATTTTTAAATTATTGCGTATTTGTCTTAGAATTCAGACCCAAAAAGGGCACACTGTGTCCACGGCTGGCGCTTTTTCTTTCTTTCTTTTATTTTTTTGGCCGCCGCAACGCCCGGAACGCTCGCCTTGGGCCCCTGGATCCACAGACACGGTTTTAAGGCTCTTTTAGCCGGCCCAAAAGTATTTTCCTCTTTGCGTTTCGCTTCGGAACCTGTGATTGCGATGCCTGCACTGTGTCAATCGGTCGAGATATGAGTCTGCCAGGGTCAGCGTTTGGGGAAGCGGGAAAATGTGGAAAATGCTGGGAAAATGCTGGAAAACTAGAGACAAAATCACATTTGTGAAACGTGCAATTTTCAAAGTACGGAAGATGTGTTTTTACCCTTTTTCCTTTCCAAATCCACCCATATATTTGTAGGATAGCCTCCTTTTCCTCTCTCACAGTCGCTTATCATGTGTCGACAAAGTTGGAACTTTTTTAACAAAAAAAGAAAAGAAAAAAAAAAAAAACGTTGTCATTAATAAAAAAAAAGTTGTCATAATAAAAGTTGTTGAAGAAAAAGTTGTTCGGGAAAAAGTTGTCAAAATACCTCTGAAAAGCTTCTTTTTGATTCCAGGTCTTGTTTTCGCTCTCGGATAAAATTTGCACAACTCATTGGGCCATCTCTGGCCGTAGCTGGAGGCCATTTGAGTGTTTTTTTGGCTACGTACAGAAGAATCAAACAAAGAAACGATAAAGTGGAGGAAAATAAAAAAGCAGAAAAATAGAGAAAATAGAGAAAAAATAGAGAAAAAATAGAAAGGAAACAAGAGGGAAAATCATGAGAACGAAAAAATGGACGAGAAAAAAATACTAATGAGATGGACGAGAAAAAAATGGACGAAAAAATATACCACCTCCACGGAACTCGAACATGGATGAGGCAATGCGATGCAAAGCAGATGCACCAAAAACGCAGTTGATCGTCCAATAGAGAGTCGGACGTAGTCAGCTCGTTGGCGGTGGAGGGGTTCAGGTTCAGAGAGACGGTGTCGGTGGTGTCCGTGTTTCTATTTTGAGGACGATTCGAGTAATATCTCATCATTTTCAACCTCGTCATGTCCACTTCTGCTGTCTTGCTTTCATATCACTTCCTGGAAAGGAAGCCTGGTGTTTTTTTCACATAAGCTAAGTTGAGAGCTATTGTACAATGTGCAATTGTTTTCCAGGCTCAAATGCCTCAGGGGGGAAGGGCTATCAGAATAAAAAAATAAAAAAAAAATAAAAAATAAAAAATAAATAAAAAAATAAAAATGGGGGTGGTCACATGGTGTGAGTTCTCTGGTTTTTTTCTCTGGAGTTTTTGTGGTTGACTTTGTATACCCTGGACTATTCATTTAGCTACCCTTAGCTCGGAATGAAGATCGGATTGACCGTACTATCGGATTGACTGTTTTGTTCATCGTATTGTCCATCAGTGATCTGTGGAGAGAGCTCTGGAATGTCTAGCTACGCTCTACCGACTGGCACCAACTGACAAACAGGTGCCGACTGACAAAACAGGTGCTGAATGACCAAACGGGCATCGACTGACAAAACTGGCGCCGACTGACCGAACAGGTGCCGACTAACCGAACAGATGCCGACTGACAGAACAGGTGCCGAACTGCCCTCCTGATCTCTCATCAACTCCCGTTATAGAACCCGTTCAGCCATAAAACTGGCCCACGTCTCCACTCACTCGCAATGCCAAGCTACGACCCAGACGCAGGTCTCAAAGATCTGTCATCTGGGATGCAGTCGACCGTATAGAAAAGTCGCACAAGCCGTGATGCGGCGGTACATGTGAGATTGTCTTCTGCTCTGGGGCCCTTCAGCCATACCGCACACACCCATCAGAAAGAAGACGCAACAACTGCCAGACGGAACAACTGCCAGATGAACAGACCATGTCAGACGTCTCCAGATTCATAGTCCGCAAACGCCGTCAAGACCTTCTATACTAGACTCTCATCAACTGCTGACTCCCTGCCTACATGTCGAGCACCTCGTCTGTACTATGTCTCAGCCTTGCGCTATGTGCGGTGCAGTCTGTGACTGAGCTGCTCGCGCAGACAGTTGAAGATATTGACAGTATCTGAATTGAGAGTACTTGTACAATACGTGATCCCGCTGGAGTCATTCGTGTGTAACTAATTGTGCCTGTACTTGTGGTTCGTCACCAAAAACTCCATCAAAACATCCGCGGAAAGTGACTCCATGACTGAACTCATTGCCATCGTCATTTCACTGGTCGCAATAGCTCACTGTCCATGAAACTTGCCCGTACTACCCCCCTCAATTCACTACCATGGCACAATACCCCATCTAAAGTAACATGACGTGAAAGCAATAAAACCCCCACCCGATCGACAGATCGCCATGGGTACCTTTCGGGTACATGTGAAACAGAACTAGGTGGTGACCGCAGCAAGGAATCAAGTCAAATCGACCTTGTGGAAGGCTTGTTAGCGGTTATAACCAACTTGCTACAAGACTCAAAGTCAAGAGAGGCTGAAAGTCAAGACTGAACCCTCCGTTGGTTTGCTTCCGCATTCTCCACCAAACCGCACCCCAACCTCGCTTTTGCCGTTCATAATCTGAATAGACTTGAATCGATTTAGCTATGGGGTCCATGTTGGAGAAGTTTGACTAAAAGTAGACGAAAAAAGCGGCTGTAGGGTTGAATTGGGCGGTGAGAGGCGTTCGAACCGTCCCCACACAATTGAGACATGTTGGAAGGGGTTTACGACGATGATTCGTCCAATAAAGATGCGATAGACGATCAAGTGGTATCAGAACCAAGGTCCAAATGCAGCGGTTCTGCACATATTATTGAAAATATTCCTGGAAAATCGGGTAGCGATTTTTGTCCACCCCTCCCCCCCCCCCCCCCCCCAAATACTGTCTGACACGCAAGATCATGCCAAATCCCGCAATCCAGACACCTTATCAATCGTATCAAAGAGGCCGTTGGGGCCACGTTTTCGTTGCCACGACAACCACCCGGGGGGCCACGACCATGCTATAATTATCCGCTGGTCGCTTAAAAGCCGCTAAACCAAAACCGCGAAGCGAACGTTGCCAAGACGCCAAGCCTCGGCTAAAGATAACGGGCTGTGCTGAGTGACTTTGAGCGAGTGTTGAGTGTTGGGCGAGTCTGGATACGTGTGCTGACGGACACCTTGTTCAAACCGCCGTCTCTTTGTTTAAACCATTGTCTTCATGCCAGAAACGTGGTCTTCGCTTCCGTCCGAACTGTACAATATCACTCAGTGTGCCGGTGAAAGTGCAATCGCGCTATCTTTACAATAACATTGTCATGCACTGTCAGACTAGACAAATTGGGCTCATTTCCAATGTTTAACAGCGGTCTTGAACCTCTCTTGTAGCTCGATCTAGGAAATGCCAGATGGTACACTCCATTGTGGTTCTCGCACTGTACCTACAGTACTCGAACTGTACCTACTCGCACCGAACTGTCCCTACTCGCACCGAACTGTACCTACGCTCTCGCACATCCCTCGACAACTGTGGCTTGGTTAAACTCATCGTGAAGTGTCCGTTCAGGGGCACAAAGGAGGTCTTCGGTACAGCTTCGCTAAGGTACGTGGTTGTACAGGGGGCGGTCTTTAGCGCGTTTATATGAGACAAGGAGTGGATGGGAGTAGTGGTAGATGTGTAGTTGGTGGTCACTGGACGGCGACTACAGTAGATGACTACAAGACAACTACAAGACAACTACAAGACACACAACAAGTAGACAAGAAGACGACTAGACAACCACAGTACATACTCATAGTAGACACCAGACCTCACACCCATCTGTAGAATGTGTGATCTGGCTCTTGATTCCCCACATCTACAGCTCAGTCAAAATAACCACCTCGTACCCTCGACCTATGAGACTACCGTGCGTGCTACTGAGCTTGAACACGCACTGTACAGTTCACTCTTACGGTACCCGGTGAGACATTGGTAAACCGATTTCAGTCGCGTCAAAAGTCCGAAAATACCACCAACAAAGGGGTAATTTGTTTCGGGTGGAATATCCGAGAATAATAATCACCATCAGTGACTGGGTAGCACCAATGAATCAGTCTGAAACGGAGTCGACCGTATTGTTGAATGACTCCTGGGTTCTTGGTTCGGAAGAGTGACTCAGATTCTGGCTAGAGTTTTGCGCATGGCCATGGTGTTTGTCGTAAATCATCAAAGATTAGTTGAGGATTTACTTGGAGAATACACAGTTTGTTGTACATTCAAATGGGTATTTCTCAATCGCGTATTTCTCAATCGCATGTATATCTTTACATGACTAGATTCATATTCTCCAATCAGGCTGTAGTCATGCTGTAGGAGCGAGTGAGAAGAGCGAGCGTAGTGGACTTCCCGAAATGACCATTCACTTCCGCTTGAGAGGTATCGTATTCAGCTGCGGAAAGTCCAGGTGACCAACTTGGTGATCGACAATCATGGTGAGAGCGAGTAGACGATAGGCATCACTGCACGAGCTCATCTGCACAGTCACTCACTCATTCTATTGATCCAGAATAATCTCCCACCCAGGCACCCTCTTTGCTTTGGCGACGCTCGCTTCGCTGCCCTCCAGCATTAGCTTCTTGACAGTAGCCTCACTTTTCAGTCTTCTCTGCTTTCTCACGACCCCACCGGCAGTTTTGATTCCAATCGTGCCCATGCTCAGAGTGTTTTCGGCAGAAGTGTAGTATGTGGAAGCATTTTTGAGCAGCGTGGAACCAAACTTGTGGGCCGATTCGGTCGACAGTCGGGCTCTCATAACGTCGATATCGGCCAACGAAATGTACATTTGGCCGATTTCGAGACCCAGCTGGAACTTGGGAAGCTTGGAATATGACGTCAAAACGTCCAGACCGACGGGAGACTGAGTAGAGGGCGTGACGGACTTGACTTGTTGCTGGAGCAGCCGGTTGGCAGCCCCCAACAGAGCCCACTGTTCAATGTCATCGTACTGGCCCTCCTCAATCACATCGAGAATACTCTGAACGCCAGCATTGGTCCATTGGGCTCCGGATGCGTGGGAAAGAAACTCGGGCAAAAGAGGATCAATCTGCTGCATGGCGGCGGTGTTTTCGCCCTTCCAAAACGCCTCCAGCTCGGTCGGTTGCAGACGACTGGCTATCCACATTCCAATGGTCTGGGCAGCATCCATGAGCGTCGATTGGAGCCCGTCTGTGGTTTTCGCAATGTCGGCAGAGAACCCTTCCTTGGTAATAACCTGCACCATCTCCTGAAATGTCTGCAGAATATTGGAAGTTGCCTTTTGGGCGTGGTGGTCAACATCATCGCGAATACCGCTGTTGCGTGTCGTCAAGGACGCCAATTTGACGACACAGGTGAGTGTTTCAACCAAATCGGCCAAATTGACCGACTCTTCGGCATTGGCGTACTTGGGTACGTTCTGTGGGTCTGTGGAGGCGGTCGCTTTCGGTGTCTGACTCTCTGGATCGTCTCCTGCTGCTCCCCCGTTCTCAAACTCCTCCAAGAGTCGCTTGAACTCGTTATATTCATCCAATTGCGCCCTATAAACGGATTCAAACACGCCCAGCGCCTCCTCCACGTCACGATCGCCGCCGCCGTACTCCTCAATGTGCGTCGTGAGCACCAGTCCGTAGCCATGCAAAACGTCCCAGGTTCGGTTGTCCGACGGAAGCTGAGCCACAAGCCCCTTGTACCCGGCCAGCACCTCCTCGTGGGCGCCCTCCTTTGTGCCAGACACGAAAATGTTGGCCAGCAACGAATCCAGTCCCACCGTGTGACCGCCGGCCTGGGTCATGTGGCCGCTGAGCAGATAGTCGCCCGATTCGTAGACCTCGTACCACACGTCGAACTTGAGCCGCACTATGTTGTAGGAGGCGTCGAACCTGTCCGACGACGTAGCCGCACTCCGTTGCACGCACTGATTGTAGTTTTCAAGCGCAGAGGCGTAGAATCGCAGTCCCTTGGACAAGTCGTTGCCACTTAGCCATCGTTCGCCTCTCTCTTCGTCCTGGCCACCCTGGAAGAAGAACTCCTCGGCGGTCGACGGCGTGGCCGCAGCGTTGCTTTTTTTCTTGTGTCGCGGAGGCATGGTGGTGAAGATGGGAAGGATTTTTTTGGATCGAAATTTGTAATGAAATATCACCTCCAAGGTTGTGCGTTTAGCTGCAGGACGCATCTGGTGGCGATAAGAGAGTGTCTCTAGAATGGTCAATTGAAGAGCGATTGGGGATTTTATTTCTCCAGGACGATTCTGGAGATCTCTTAATGTTCCAATCCCACTTTGGACCTTTCTCCATCCAATCTCCTGGTTCTGTGCACAACAATATAACAAACAAAAAAAATTCGACCTTGAACTTTGATCTCTCCACCATGCAATGTTAGCGGCGGCGGCTTAGAAAGGAGATATAGGGGATTTTGATTGGTTAATGGAGTTTGGGGACATGAATGGGTTGGGACAGTTATATATCATCCTTTTATTCTATTCTGAGTCCCTATTTGGTTATGTACTACAGTAGGACAACGACTCCGATAGACTGACTGTCCAGTCTGTCCCCTGGCCAGTAGTGAACCCACAAGTGCTGACTGAACCGTTGAAGTACTGCACAATATTGTACTGTACTTGTATCAATTGCAAACTAGAAGAGAATATTCCGGAAGCCGCTTGAATCAATCTCCCGGGAGCCGGTTGAATCAATGCCCGTGTCCATGTCAATCACCATGGTACGGCAGACCACAATCCACGACAGTTGGTAGGGCAGAAAGACACACTAGAGACTTGTGAATTCGGCCCTGATCTGTTGCAGTTGTAGTTGTGTGTTGTAGCAAATCTTTCTCCACCTCTCTGCAAGCAGAACCTCCGTCTAGGTCCATATTCCAGGTCCATCTAGAATCTGCTGTCATCAAGTTGACAATCGCAACTGAGAGTCGCCAATTCCCCCAGTAGGCATGGCCAGTGCTCTCATGAGTGGAGCTCTTCGGACAGCCCTCGTAAGAAGGACACCAAACTCATCGCGATCATACGACTAACCACTTGATGGACAGCACGACTGTTGGGCACGCCAATGGGCAACAGAGCCTCGAAAGCTGCCAGATGCACCTCTGACGAGTTGGCAGAACGCGTGAACTGGATGGGATCCTGGCTCTGCGCAGCAAACAGACTGCTTCTAGAACAATACAGTCACCACGTTCAGGTACGACGGAACTCATGTGTCCAGACGACCACGCTGATCAGTCTCGTTGATGGCACGGGCGGCAAACTCTCGAGGAGTCGTCGTTACTGTCTGAACACAAGACGCGCCCGAAAACAAAATCAGTTCATACAGGTAGAACGAGTCACCCAAAGAGTTGGCGAGAACATTGTAGCCCAAAGTGTCGAGAATCACGCAGACTCCTTCGACGGAAAGGTCATTCGGAGCATGGGAGCAGTCTGGGACTTGTTTTTGGTCGTATTTGGGAGCTGTCACGAAGCGTTTCTGGTCGTATTTGGGAGCTATCACGAAGCGTTTCTGGATGTATTTACTTTGGCTAGACTCATGGAACTTGTGGGTGAAACTGGAGGTTCAGGCGCCTGTCCTTCATCCCTTCACGTTGTTCATGTCGGTCCTTGGTCAGTTGGAAAACCAAAAAGTCGTAGTGTTGACGACATTTCTCTCGTTTGTGGATGTCTCTCGTTTGTGGATGTCTCTCGTTTGTGAATGTTTGATAATCTGTCCAAATCCACAGTTGCACACTTCCGTCTCCGCATCGCGTGACCGGATTCTCGTATCGGATAGTGGCGTCTTCCGTAAGCCGATTCGCCAGCGGATTGATAATCTGCTCTTGACCGGCTAGAAGAGCGATGAGCGGTGAAGAAGTTGAGCGGAATTGAACCAATTAGTGAATTGAATGGCGAACGAATCGCTACAGTAGTATCAGCTCACTTCACGCCCTCCACAGTCCCACATTACCCCACCAACAGACCTAGACTGCGCTTTTCCCAGTCTGCCAGTCCCGCTGTCCCTCCATCCTCCGTGTCCAATTCCTCCATCCTCCGTGTCCAATTCCTCCATCCTCCATGTCTAATCCCTCCACAAAGCCGATCTAATCACCCATCGCAATACCAACGCCGATTGCACAATCTGCCGATGACGCAGGACGGTGCAGAATATTGCGTGCTCGATAGCGATTAGAGTTGTGAAATTTCGGGGGAAAAAGCGGCCTTGGAGGCGCTAGAACGGGCAGTTTGAGAGCAATCGGGAAGGGGGGATCGGGAATCCGTTGCTGGGGGATGCCTCAGTCGTCGTTTCAAATATCTGGTCAACAGGTGGCCGATTACCCCGTTTTGAGACTCCCCAAAATCGCCACCCACACCCCCAAGCGGCATCTCACTAGTGTGAAACTTTATTTATCAGCAACATACATATATATATATATATATAGGCACCGACTCCGCTGACTGCACTGACCATCTACACTGCACTTGTACCCACGCACACCATGCCAATTATCACAGAAACATTCAAGCTGAACGACGGCCGATCAATTCCGGCTCTGGGTCTGGGAACCGCGTCGGACGCCAACGTGGAAGAGGTGACCTACGCCGCCATCAAGGACGGCTACAAACACATTGACACCGCCTACATCTACAAATCCGAAGAGGCGATCGGCAAGGGCATCAAGCGAGCCATTGCCGACGGGCTCATCAAGCGGGAGGAGCTGTTTGTGACCACCAAGGTCTGGCCCACCTTCCACGGCCGGGTCAAGGAGTCGCTGGACTACTCCCTCAAGGACCTGGGTCTGGACTACGTGGATCTTCTGCTGGTCCACTGGCCTGCCGCGCTCCACCCGGACCCCAACGACAGACACGCCTACGTGCCCAAGAACGCCGACGGTTCGGCCCACTACACCGACAACAATGACTGGATCTCCATCTACGAGGAGCTGGAAAAGGAGCAGGCTGCGGGCCGAACCAAGTCCATTGGAGTCTCCAACGTGAGTGAAAAGTACCTCAAGGAGCTGCTCAAGCGAGTCAAGACCGTGCCCGCCGTCAACCAGTTCGAGAACCACCCCTACCTGCCCCAGAAGAAGGAGATTGAGTTTAACAAGAAGCACGGCATTCTGGTCACCGCCTACTCGCCCCTTGGATCCTCCAATGGAAAGATCAAACTGCACGAGAACCCCGTGGTCGCCGAGATTGCCAAGAAACACAACGCCACCACCGGATCGGTGCTCATCAACTGGCACATTTCCCAGGGCCGATCTGTCATCCCCAAGACCAGGTCTGTTGAGCGGGTGAAGGCCAACGCCCAGAAGGTCGACCTCGACTCAGACGATCTCGCCAAGCTCGACAAGATTTGGGAACAGACCGGTACCCAGCGAGCCATTGGCCTCGACTGGCTTGATAAGGCCGGCGACAACCTTGGTTTCGAGGACAAATAGGCGACTTCAGTGACCTGATCGAATTGAGATATCAATATTGAACTAGATTTTCTACAGCCAGGGTTATAGAAATTGATGATTTATTGCTAGTGCGCTGCAACTGCTGGAGTGCCGATATCGTACTTTTAGAGAGAACCCATGGAGTTGAGGATGGATCAAACGAACCACGTGATGGGCCACGTGACTGGGGTCGTATCTGCAGGGAGATTGTGGTAATATGGATGGAAAGGTCAGAATCACATCTTGTTGGATTCGAGTGAGAAAGCGGCACGAGTGTATGACAACTAGCACGTACAGTGTAGTGTATGTTAGTAATCAGTAATCATGGTAATTCACGGTAATTCACGGTAATTCACGGTCACGTGACCCCACGTGACTTTCCAATACGATACTGCGATTGCCACTGGGCATAATCTAGATGATCTTGTTCGGGAGCTCGCCAGTGGCTGGCGAATAGTTTGAGGGAAGGTTGGAGAGCTGTTTGCAAGTACAGGACAGTATGTGCACTATTACATCTTTACTACTTCTGACGTTCACTTCTCTTCTTCCTCACCTTTGTTGCTCGCTTCTTTTTTTTTCAGGGTCCAGTTTTCGGTCCAGGGTCCAGGGCCAGTATGGAGACGACGAACATCAGCCTCGGATCGGCGCAAACCGTGTCTCCTCAGCTCGACTTGTCTCACTCCAACTGCCTCTGTTTCACAGATCCAACGCTTCCTGCCGATCAACTAGTTTGCTAACTCTGAAGTTCGGAGCAACAACAGAAAGAAGCCCTGAGTAAGAGACTCAAACCTCGAGTCAAACGCTATGGGTTTCTTGTCCGTGGTCTATGCTTCTGATGCGCAATTGCAGCAATTGGTGTGGCAATTGGCCTGTTCTAGACCGAGATCCGAGGCAGTGTTCTAGAGCGACTGGTGTCAGGAGTGACTTTCAACGGTGTCAGGAGTGACTTTCAGCGGTGTCAGGAGTGACTTTCAACGGTGTCAGGAGTGATTTCAGCGGTCCAAAAGACTGAAGCATCAGGAGTTCCACCAGCTACTTCGCAACTTGGAATGGTTGTACAGGTATTGTGCAGTATACTCGTACGATTAGAAGCATTCGATGGTCATCTCGATAGAACAGGAGGAATAAGAGGAGGAGCGGCATCGCAGTTGATTATAAACCCGTTTTCTTTCGGCGAGGTTTTTTGTTTCCTTCCTGAGATTTTTTTGGTGTTTTTTTTTTTTGGTTTTTATTTATTTATTTTGTTTCATTTCTCCAACTTGAAACTTGTGCTTTGATTTTTCACCCTGATCTGAATACCAGAGCTGAAAAAAAAAATTTGAAAAAAAATTTGAAAAAAATTGACCAATTCGCTTCAAAAAAACATATAGGAAGAATCATTTGAACGAGAACTCCAGGCAAACCAACACATCCGGCCCACCATCGATCTTGCCAGTATTGTGCTGTCTGTACTGTTCGTATGTACAGTACATACTCGTAACTATGTTAGTTTGTTTCTTAGCATCGAGGTCAACCTCAAATAAAATGTCAACTATTACCAGACAATCGATAGAGTCCAATCCCAGCAAACAGAAGATATTCGTATGACATGGTATATATATTATCAAACACTAGTTAGTAAACACGGCATGGGGTACATATTTACATCTTCATAATAACTCCAGAGTTTTCGGAACAACGGATTCTAACCCCCAGCGGACTTTTAATCTCAACAAAGTCCAATTAATCTTGTTGACCTTGGTAACAATCTGACAATATGGATCTCAAAGCCTCTCGGGCTCTTTCTATCCACGATGCTTGTTCCGCCAAATTCCGCTCATTTACTGATACGGTTTAAATATTTATTTCAAAAAGAATGAAATTTAAAAATATTTAAAAATTATTAAAAAATGTTTAAAAATTAAAAAATTCTATTTTATTATTGTATTATTATTTTTTCTTTCTAAAAAAAGCTAATACCGTGCATCGCCAAAAATAGCAAATAAAAACGGAAAACTTCGAACCAAAAACAAAACTCCAAAAAAATCCTCAAGAATGCTCAAAAACCAGCCGTTCTCCCAAAAACCAGCCGTTCTCCCAAAAACCAGCCGTTCTCCCCCAACCTCGCCCATCTCACGTCCCACCACACACGGCTGTGCTAATTTTAGTTCTATTATGATTACAAAGCATCTTTCGACGGGCAAGAGCACTGGAGCGATATCTTGATGGAAGAAGACACTCGGAAAAACACAAACCACTCCCCCGCGGTCCACACGACATTTTCAATCGCAATCTCCACCACAAACCGCTCCTCCAACCCGGCCCAGTCTCCCTTTTAAACTTTCATCTCCCGGCACAATTGGAGATATGTAGGAACACGCCCGCCTGGAACTTAACATCAACATGGCTCAGCCCTTGAAGAGGTGAGTAGAGTGGAGTGGAAGAGTGGGATAGGAGAGGATAGGGGAGCGATGGTCATGTGACAAGGGATTGTGTGACACGGGCGACCGGGTATTGCGTCGTCACCGGGTCAATCACGTGTCCACATGTGGTGTTGTGGTGTCCCCTCTCGTGTCACATTCAGTGCCCATTTGTGGTGTTGTCACATTCTGTATCATTTTCCATGTCACCTCCCTATTATTCCTTCCATTTCACATCCATCTAACACAGAAAACTCGTCATTGTTGGCGATGGCGCGTGTGGAAAAACGTCCCTTTTGTGCGTGTTCACCATGGGGTCGTTTCCGAGTGTGAGTATGCCTGCGGTGGTGGCGGTGGAGCCGAGACAGAACAAGGACGATTGGCGTTCAAACCCAGAAGAGAGACATTGCTAGAGTTCTGGCAGAGATGAGGTTCCGACAGAGGTTGGTGTTCCAACAGAAATTGGCGGTTCGACACAGACGAACCACGCGACAGCGACATTGATGTCTACAATGGCACGGTTTTGCTTTGCAACGATTGCTCGACGGTGGGGACTGAGTGCCGTTACCAGGGTCCGCAATTACGTGGCACTGGGTCCGCCGGTTACGTCGGTTACCCCGTGGCACTGCTTGGGCCTTCCAGTGGACGTATGGGCTCAGGTTTCGGTTGAGAGGTGAGACAGACTTGAACCAACTGGTGAATGCCCTCTCGAAACGGACACCTCGATATCCCGGTTCTGGACTCTTGCCGATACCTGAACCCAGATGCCTCGCAATGGCGCGCGTCTGAGGCACGGCTGAATGATGGTGATCCGACAATGGCCTTAGATCATGTCTGCAGGTTACGGTGACTCTGTTAACCCGCGGTTCCCCGCCAACTGATGAACCACTTTCAATATGCACATCCAGCACCTCAGCAGCAACCTCTACATTGTAGACGCTGTTGTTGAGCTGAGATGCTCTCCAGACTTGCAGCGAGCCGTCGGAGTCAGTCAGCCTGCGCTTGTAGCTGTTCAACTCACTTTTTTTCCCGCTAACTCAGAAATATACCCCAACCGTCTTCGACAATTACGTGGCAGACTGCCGAGTGGATGGCAAATCGGTGGCATTGGCATTATGGGACACAGCCGGACAGGAGGAGTACGAGAGACTACGTCCTCTGGCATACGCAGACGCCAATGTGATCCTTATAGGTTTCGCGGTCAATGTGCCGGATTCGCTGGATAACGTGGCCGTCAAGTGGATCAAGGAGGTCAATGAGCGGTGTCCAGGAGTGCCGATTCTGCTCATTGGGTTGAAGAAGGATTTGAGGCAGTCGGAACCATGCATTACCGCTGCTGAGGGCCAGGCCATGGCGTCTCAGATAGGTGCGAAAAAATACCTGGAGTGCTCGGCCCTGACGGGACAAGGTGTGGACGATGTATTTGAGGTGGCCACGAGGGCATCCTTGCTGGTTACTGCCAAACCGGAGAGTAAGGGTTGTTGCATTGTCATCTAATCAGGCGACTGAGTCATATGGTAACTTTGGCGATCAATATGACTCCCCCAGTCGTGGGAAGCCTGCTTAAATGACACACGGAAACTACACGTTTCGCCACCCAAAAGCCCAGCCCGTGCTCTGCGCTCCGCTGGCCCAAAATTCAAATTCCAGTCTCTCCTTACTAACTTATTTAATAGTGGTAATACACGCACACGACGAGCTATGCGGCAGTCGTATTAATGATTTACGCGGAGTGCGTTGAAGGGGATGGTCGTTACTGGAGTCGGTGGGTACTGTATGGTAATCAGTATACCAACTTGCGTGTTTTCGTCTCCACTAACCGCCAATATCAATTTCTTTTGGCAGTCCAAGAGGTAACTTGCGGGTTCTCTACAACTTCCGTCTGGCGGGTGCAAATGTTTTTCCCCTCGTCGTTTAAATGCATCCTTGCGCCATTCTCGTCAGTGATGTCCTTCATGACCTTGGTGGTTCGATTCATCATGGGTGACCTGAATGTCGCGTTCCAAGAGGCTGATAAGAGACGACAGTGCTGAGACCTATCGACATGAACTCATATCATGTGAAAAAAAAAAAGGATGAGCTTTGAAGCGACGATGGCCGAGGATGAACGAAGGATGGATGCTAACCAGGATGAACGCTAACCAGGATGAACGCTAACCAGGATGAACGCTAACCAGGATGAACGGAGGATGAGAACGAGAGTGGATCACGGATAGGGATACTGGAGTTGAGATGCATACAAAGTAATCATGTAATCACAATCAATGCCGTGTTATACATGGCTGCAATCGTATTCAAAAGACACCATCATGTTTTCTTAGCCGACTCCTTTCCTCTTTTCCTCACAGCACGTAATAGTTGACATTACTTGAGAACGTGCCCACCCATTAAAATGGACGTGATGTTGAAGTTCATGTTTCACTATTGATAATAATTTCTAGCAGAGTAATATATGTCTATCTATATTCATTAATTTTCAGTTATTAATTTTCATATTTGTATTGTAAAAAAAAATGACATGACCCAAATATTATAAGAATAATATTGTATTTAGTTATATATTTTTATTTTATTTTCAAGTACCATTTCCATTACTTAATCTTTCATTCATTGATTTATCCCTTTCAAAGTCTAACAATTTAATGATACACATAAAATATAATTGATTTTTTTGTAAAATAAAAATCTTCATATTCATGAAATAATGAAATAATTTAGATATTATTTTTATTTTATGTTATTATTTGATTCAATGATTTTCCGGTGCAGTACCAGTACAGCTGCTTGTAATTAACCGGATTTTCTTTCCAAATTCAAGTTGACAAGACTCGAACTGGGATCTACTTAAATTGTTAATTTGTATGAAAAAAACAAGGCCATTAAAAAGAGAATTGTGGAATATTTCATTCCCAGAATGAAAAAAAATCAGACTAAAGGAGAAAAAATTATATTAAAAAAATGACGTTCGCATTCATGATTTTTACTACTTTTTCTGCCCAGAAACACCCCGATTGTACAGCTTTTCGGCCATGTCGTGGTTGTTTGTAACGTTATCTCGCTCTCTGGTATCACTCTCATTACCATGGATACCCCAGATACGAATACAAGTGGTGATTCCGCGCAAGCCGAGCTGCGGCGGATGCGCGAGGTCTTTGGAGACTGGGAAAAGATGAATAATATGGCCAAGGAGGTCGGCACCGTGGCTCAGAATCTTCCCTGGAAGCTGGGCCCCAAGTTGGGGGAGACCAAGTCGTCTACGCTGGCTGCTGGTGGAGCGTCTCGACACGACTTTCTTGCGGCTGCGGCGATCCTCACAGGGCAATTCAACAAGGAAGTTGAAGGTCTGGAGCCGCTCAAGAGCGAGACACAAAGGGTTTTGGCTCAGATTTTGTGGCATCTGAGCAACGCGGTGGCGGCGTTTGAGAGCCAGCTGGAGGTGGTGCTGTCTCAGACGTTTGCCACCGACGACGAAATTCTGGAAATGCGGGGCTTTCAACGCCATCTGCGCCGCGCCACGATGGAGCTGGAGCTCTTTGAGGACCGCTCGCGGTTTTTCGACAAGGACATTGCAGTGGGGTACTCTTGCCAGCTCCAGAGACGGCTGCTGGACCTGGTAACGGGATACAATGACGAGAGGTTGAAGGAGTGGTTCGTCGAGCAACATGGCTGGGGCAAACAGGTTATCTTGGCCAAAGGAACGAAACGAGCAGTGGTTGTGGAAGCGAAAATACAGAAGGAGACCGACTTGTTTCCGCCCGAAATCAAGTCGCTGGTGTTTGAACAGCTGGATGTCGAATCCTGCGTGGCTCTGAGGCAGGTCGATTCCAGCTGGTACGCTGCTTTCCGGGACAGCGAGCCGATTTGGGAAGCAAAACTGCGCTTGAGAAACCCCTGGATCAAGCCGGGCGGTGGTCCGGACCTCAATTCCTGGGCCGGCTGTGTTCTCGTGTTCGTGGCAAGACTCCAAAAGTGGCCCACAGTCGACGACATCAACGACATTGCTACCCCGACCGAACCAGCCGAATGTGAATCGGTGGTGGCAGTCGAGCTGGAAGGGACCAAAAAGCCCAACAGCTGCTTCAGCGGCATGGTGGAACATGACTACGAGCACTGCCACCCTATTGTCTGCGAACAGAATCATTGTGCCACCTTCGACTACCGTTTCGATTATTCTCTGAATCTCTGGACCCATGAGATATCTACTCTGCATCATCCGACCCCCGAATTGGTCCACTCAGACGAAAATTACTTTGCAATTCGTTACAAGGACATCGGAATGGTTCTTCCGACGAGCTTTTCGCTACAAGGCATTGCTGCAGTGAAAGAAGGACCAAACTACATTCTGGTGAGCAATGAATCCGGGGAGGCAGCTCTACTACCTCGCGAAAATCCTCACATCGACTCGGGTCTGTCACTTGAACCGTTCCAGTACGGAACACCCGAGGATAGATACTTTTTTGAAGACATGTTCATGACCAGAGCCCAACTTTCCGTGTTGCCAGATGAAGGAAGAGACCACCGGTTTCTCATTGCTGATTTCCACGCCCAAAAAATGCATGTCTATGCTATCGCATCTGGTCCAAGCCAACCGGTGGCTTCCTACAATGGACTTGTTTGGTGGTCCATTCACCGAGATTGTCTTCTGCCTACCTTTATCGATCTCCAGAGCCCCCGAAAGGTCTATTATTCTGCGGAAAGGACCATGCGGGTGCCCAAACACGAGCCTGCCCGGATTCATCAGGGCAGCAGGTCGCGCAACTGCAGCCAGTTTGTTTTTGGAATCCGACATCGAGCCAATGTTGCGTCTATGGTCGACCTAGCCACCGGAATCCTCACGTCCATGTACAAGCCACGAGACGAGCCAGAAGGCAAAGTGGTTCCCGGTTTTCAGAACGGTCGGTTCTATCCTCGGTATCTCTCCGAATCTGCTTGCAGGACCTGGGATTTGTTCACTGAGGAGTTTTCAGAAGACGACGGGCGTTTGTGGTGACGTGACAGAAACACATGTTTTTGTAGTACAGAATCGCATTTTCTACATTGAAGGATCTCTTGTTGCTTCACCTACACTCAAATGACATATCTAAAGTACCGGTTTTCCTGGTCGGTCATGTCGGAGTTTTGAATCTCCTCCAGCTCCTCTAGGGAAGGATTGATATGGCCCTCTCTATCTCGTTTCTTGTTCTCGGCAAGATTCACAAATAGCAGAACGGTGTTTAGACCCACGGCAACCGCAAACAGCACCACCATGGAGACCTTGGCAGGCACGTATTCCGGAGCATCGTCGGCCCGGAAGGTCTGGGGACCAATGATGTTGCCGACGCAATAGCCCACCAGCATTATGGCGTTGACAGTCACTTTTTTCGTGTGTCCGGTTGTATTGGAGCCCACCGACGACAGCATACAGACCAGGCCAACAGGGTAGACGGAGAGCAGATAGAGGCCGGCTAGGCCGGCGGCTTGGATGTGGGGCAGAAACGCCAACAGACACATTGCGACTGTGGCAATCAGCTGGGCGACAATTGACCAGAACAGACGCCATTGGGTGTATTGTGCCAAGAGACCAAACAGCACGCATCCCACGATTTCCACCGCTCCCTGGGGGGTCTGGAGAAGCAGGCCTCTGACGGGTCCCAACCCCAGGGTTTCCGAAAAGAGAATGCTGCCAAAACTGGTGATTCCGCCATTGGGAATGTTGGAGGCAATAGAGTAGAAGAAGTAGAGCCAGGATCTGGGGTCTTTGAACGCTTCGATGAACTGGTTTCTTTTGAACTGTTTGTTCGCAAACGAGCCCTGGTTGGTTCGCACCCGGATGACCACTAGCTTCTTTTCTTCTTCGGTCAAAAACCACGCCTTGGAGGGGTCATCAGGGAAGTGGAACAGAATCAGAATCCCCGTGGCAATGGTGATGACACCAGTGATGATGAAAACGAGCTTCCAGCCATGGATTGGAAGATGGTGGTTGATGGCTAGTCCATAAGCCATCAGACAGCCAACAATGATCCCGAGGCCGTTGGATCCGACCCAGAAAGACGTCCGAAGAAACTGCTCCTCGCGCTTGTACCATTGAGACGTGATGATGACAAAGGCCGGCGTAACAGCCGACTCCAACATGCCCAGGAGGGTTCGCAGAGCAATGAATCCCGGATAGTTGGGGGTAGCATGGAGACACAATACTACACCCCAGAGAACGATGAAGGCTGAGAGAGTTCGGATGAAAGGTAGTCGTTGGAGCATGTACACGGCTGGAAACTCGAACACTAGATATCCCAGGTAGAAGGCCGTTCCCGACCATGAATAGTCGTTGCCCTCCATATGCAGGTCTGTTCTCAGACCCATAACCGAAGCGGTGGCATTGGTGCTCTTGTCCATAAATTGGACCGCGTAAACGAGCATCATGACTGGGCACAGATACATGTCAATCTTGCGCAGCAGTCGTTTGTCTGTAGCGGCATCCAGGGTGATATCGTTGACCTCTCCTACTTCCACGTCCAGCTTTTCATCTGCAGGGTCCGGGAACGTTTTTTCGAGCGATTTCGAGTCGTTGCACTTGCTCATTTTTCAGAAATGGCCAAAAGTCATCTTCAGCAACTCGCCAGAGATATATATACCCTTGTGTGGGCATTTTGTCTGGCAGTTTTATGATTTTATCCAGACACTAGCGAAAGCTAAACTGGATATGAGGGGTGTTGAGATGAGACGGTTGTGGAGACAATTTCGAGGTTATGAGTGGACCGTTGGGATGAGGAGATCAACCGCTTTCGAATGAGCCCAACATCAACGATGTATCTGTCGATCCAGCTCGAAAACACCACGATATCCGCAAACTTTTCCTTATCTAATCTACAAGGAACCTTAAGGACTGGATATTGCGCATTTTGGAGGGAGACAGCAGGACCAAAAGAGTCGGGGCGTATGTGAATCGGTCTTCAATTCACTCTCCTGATCTCTTGATGTCACTTTGACCCAATCCCCACGTGACTACCTCCTCACAGTCCCCAGTTCATCTCTTATCTCTAGACAGTTAACCTGATAGCTTAGTTAGGATTCGAAGATCAACTGTGGACGCCTCCAATCAGGCACACGGTTCCGCTGTGGCTTGCGCTGTCGGAGATATCCTACCGACGCTGGTTTGTGTTGATTTCTCGATATTTGACCCACACTGTTGCTCACTGTTCAGTCCACAGTTGGCTCAAAAGTTCCACCATCTGTTGATCAAAAGTGCATTCTGAGGACATGGAGATTACCAAACACCTGCTCACTTTACCCGCCACCGAGGCAGCCACAAACGGGCCGCTTTTAAAAACCAGTTGAACCCTGAGCCGCTGTTTTCGGAGCATTATCGCTCGCTGTGAGACGAGCAACAGTGTTCATACACACTGTTACACCGGATTAAATCCGTGGGTGAGAGATCTATTTTGAAACAGATCCGAGTCACACCAAAGATCAAGCTCTGAAACATCGTCGGCGTATTCCTATACGCATTGGATCATCATTGCCTCGTCCTGAGTCTCCATCCTCGAACTCCCCTCTTGTATCTACACTGCTTCATAACCAATATCCATTATCTATAACTGTCTGTTGTCTTTTGTATCCTCGTGGTACCGTGGTCGTAGTACCGCGGTTGAGCCACCCACACCATGCAAGCAGTGGCCATTAACTGCTCTCAGTGAGCAGCAAATCGTCAGATTAGACGTCTCACTTGTCTGAGGCTGTCAAAATGAAATGCTGTCTGAGGCTGTCTGAATGCTGTCAGAGGCTGTCTGAATGCTATCTGAACGCGGTTCTCAACGCAGTCTGAAGTGCTTCTTACTGCGCCCTAATACGGGTTGAACCGCCCACTCTCCTTGTACTGCTTGACCTTCTCCTGATCCTCCTTGAACTTGGTCAGCATGTCGGTCATCTGCTCCTTCTTGTACTCTCGGATCTGGAACCGGTAGAAATCCTTCTTCTCCCGCTTCTCTCGTCGCTTGATCTCAGCGAGCTTCATTTCCTCGGCTTGCTGCTTGGCGGCCTCCTGCATGGCCAACGACTTCTTTTTCTGCGTCTTGACCACCGTGGTGAATCCGTCGGCGTCCACCACCGTTCGGCCCGTCTTCTCCACCTTCTTCTCCTCCTCCTCTCGGGCCGCAAACTCCTCCATGAAATAGTCCACCTCGGCCTGCAAATCGTCGGGCGCAGGGAAACAGTACTTCCATAGCAACTGGTATCGCTGCTTGCCGCCAATCGTCAGCTTGGCGTCCCACTTGACTCCACATGTAGCATTCTTCTTGGCCTGACTCAACACCCGGTTGCAAGAAGCCGCATCCACCATGTGAATACGACCGCAGCCGCCAGAAAGACCATGTGTCAGCGACTCGGCCCGCACATTGCGACTCACATTCACCCATTCAAAACTCTCCACAATGCTGCCCCCCAGACTCTGACACAAGGCCTTGATGTGAGAAAGAGTCGAGTCGGCAGGCAGATTGCACACAAAGATCGTCGAGTCCTCCGACGCAGCAGAATTGTCGTCCTTCTTCATGTACAGATAGTGCGTGTTGCCCTTGGGCATTTTCAGCGGTAGAGTCTCGTAGCCGCTCATTCTGGTCGCAAAATGTTTGTGCGTGTATGTGTGTAGATGTAGGACGGGATTTTTTTTAGACGTGCATGACACATGTAAAAAGATTCACCGCAGAGGTTATGAGAAGGATGAGGGTCAAATTTTGGAAGGAGATTGTTGGGTGTGTAGGAGGGAGAGGGAGTTTCTGTTGTTGTGGATTTTTATTTTTTTATTTTTATTTTTTTATTTCTTGAGTATTTTATTTTATTTTATTTTATTTTAGTTTAGTTTAGTTTATTTTAGTTTATTTTATTTTATTTATTTCTGTTCATTTATTTATTCCTGTTCATTTCATTTTATGTATTTTATTTAGTTCATTTCATTTATTTCTTTTTATTTTATTTTATTATTTTATTATTTAAATTTCGTCCAGTGAAAAATCCCAACCATTCACTTTAAAGTAGACACAACTGCTAACAAAACCCAACCCCCAAAACTCCCCCAATAATGCTCCAAATTTGATGATTATTGCATCCACCACCACCGCCAGCTTCCAGCACTTCCCATCCAAATTTTCAGCCAAATCTACATATCCAAAACTTCACCAAAATGCCGAGGGTAATAAAACCCTAATTCATTTAAGGTTCGTGTATCCAACCTCCCATTACCTAATCCATATGCATCGTTTAAACGGCACTAAAACACAATTATTTCGTTACCATTGTATTTTTCGAACCGCCAGGATCCTAAAAATATCAATTTTGGCCCCAGTATCCCCAGAATTACCCATGTTTAGCCCTCACCACTTTCGGAAACTCTAAACCACCAACTACACCATCACCATCTTTTTCTGCACATCCAAAACACCACCGAACACAATGTACGACCCAGCGCGCGACTGCTACCAGGCCGAAGGAGAGTCAGCTGACGCCCGAGACGCCGCGGAAATCGCAGGCGGTGAATTTCTTGCTGACTCAGCAACCCCCGAGACCAAGTCCGACTCCACCAAATCCGACGGAAACGATCCCAAGCAAGAAACGTCGGAAACAAAACGACCAGCATACAATTACCTGCCAAAAATCGCCCGCAAGGAAACCACCTCGGGGTCACGTGACGCGGCCTCTGCCAAGCCGCAGCTCAAACGACGGGAGCGCGAGGATGTGAGAGTGGCTGGCGATCGGGTTGCTCCTCGGGCCGACATGGGCAGCTATGTGGACTACAGTGAGAAGGAGTCACGTGAGCGGCAGGATCGGGATCGAGATTCACGTGACCATAGAGACCGAGACAGAGACCGAGACCGAGGCCGGGACAGGTACGATTCTCGCGACAGAGACAGATATGATTCCAGAGACAGGCCCCGCGATTACGACTCGCGCGACAGAGACAGAGACAGAGACAGAGACAGGTACGACGACCGGGTACGTGACTACGACTCACGTGAGAGAGACAGGTACGACGACCGGGCACGTGACTACGACCGCGGTAGCCGTGACAGCCGTGATTACCGTGACAGACATGACCGAGAGCGAGAGAGATATGATTCGGGCAATTCGCGTGAGACCCGAGATGTCCGGGAGTCACGTGAGCGGTCGCTATCACCCACTCGCGAGCCAAAGCCGCACGATCCCGCTGCCCCTGCTCCCAGTAAGCAGAAGCGGCCTTCGCAGCGAGGAGGACGGGAGGCTGCTGCTGCGCGAGCTGCTCAATATCGTGCAGAGATGGAGAAGCGGGAGGCACGAGCGCAGGCTGCTGCTCAGCAAGGGGATCAGGTGGGCGACTCTCTGGTTCGAAACCATTACAACCAGGCTCCTGAGCGAGGTGTTGTTGCTCGTCAGTCTTCGCCTATTATCAAGCTGCGAAACTTCAACAACTTCATCAAGTCTGTTTTGATTCAGAAGCAGTCGCTTGGGTTTGGAATGCGTGTCATTGACATGGGATGTGGTAAGGGAGGAGATTTGAACAAGTGGAGCAGACAGCGGGTTCGCGATTACATTGGAGTCGATATTGCCGATGTGTCTGTGCAGCAGGCGTCGGAGCGGTATCATAACATGCAGCCTCGGCCTCGGTTCTATGCCGAGTTTCATGTTGCTGATGCTTTTGGAACCCCTCTTATTGACATTATCAATCCTCGAGCGTTTCCAGTCGACTGCATTTCCTCCCAGTTCGCCATGCACTATGCCTTTGCTACTGAGGAGCTGGCTCGAAGCATGTTGACCAACGTGTCCAACTCACTTTGCCGAGACGGCGTATTTCTGGGCACCATTCCCAACTCCGACAAGATTCTGGAGGGAATTGCGGGTGGTCTGAAGGAGAGTGAGCCGAAGGAGGGAGAGGAGCGATACGGCTACTTTGGAAACTCTGTCTACAAGGTGGAATTCAACACTCCTCCCACCAAGGACCAGGCCTTCCGACCTCCGTTTGGACACAAGTACACCTTTTACCTGCAGGACGCTATCAACAATGTCCCCGAGTACGTTGTTCCGTTTGAGGTGTTTCGTGCCCTGGCTTCCGATTACAATCTGGAGTTGATCTACAAGAAGCCATTTTTGGAAATGTTTGATGAGGAGGTGAAGAACGATCTAAACATGGCTCGATTGGCTGAGCGAATGAAGGTATTCAAGGAGGATGGGTCTCTGGGCATTGACGGAGACCAGCGAGAGGCTTGTGGGTTCTATCTGGCTTTTGCTTTTCGAAAATTGGGTGCGTGATGTGGCGTCTTCAGCGCAAGATATGTAAAGTATGAGTTAAGACCGTTGTCTATGTAGGAGGAATGAGGGGGTTTGTTAATATCAATCTTTTGGTTCCAATGATACCCACCGGGGACTTTTATGTTTCTTTCGGAATTCTGGTATCTTTTGGCGTAGATTGAGACCCAGCTAAAGCTCCGAGTTTCCATCCTGAAGGCTCAGACTGATGACCCCCCGTAATCGCCATATTCAGAGCACTGGCGGTCTACTTCCCTGCTGTTGGTCAATCAAGTAAAAGTGGTTGGTGTTGTTAGGGTAGCGCAAGGTGGATGGTAGTTAGATATGACAACTAGTCGAAGCACAAACTGATGAAGATCCGCAAAAAGACCATATAACAGCAACTAGAACAGATATCTTCCCCGTCCCTTCAATTACTTGATCAGACAGTAGCAGATCTGGCTTTATCGTGCTACAGTACATACAGTACTTTCAGTCAATCTCCCTCTCCTCTTGTATATAACGGCCCATCGTCATCTATTGCAGTAGAACTACCACACGAAACCAACCACCACGTTTTCCAGGAACACGGTGGGACGTCGAGGACTTCACCAATAAAGAGATGTCATCAAGGGCTTCCGAATGAGCCCAAAAAATATGCAAATCTGGTTCTCGTCAAGGCAAAAAGGACAAAAAGGACAAAAAGGTCGTACCCGGAATCGAACCGGGGTTACTGGAAGTCGACTATTAAGAGTCAGAATCCAAGGTGATAACCGCTACACTATACAACCGTGAAGAAAGGATGATTTCTGGCAGGATCGAACTGCCGACGTTCTGCGTGTTAAGCAGATGCCATGACCAACTAGACCAAGAAACCGAACCTTGATTTTGCAACAGACTAAATCGACTCATAAGGTGATATAGGATTAGTCATGATCTGAGTTAAACTGCTGACTAAACAGCATCTGGGTTCTGACATGATTTGAAAGGTTTTGAAACTAAAAGTATGAAAAGAGGGATTATTTCGCAGATACGACGAAACTTGGACCATTATTGTATTATTTGGGGCTTTTAATTTCATATAAATCCTTCAAACCAACGATTTATGTGGATTTAGGGCACACCCGAGCTTTTTGAAAAATCGTGACTTTTGCAACTTTTAATGACTTCTTGTGAGTCCGTCAAAGTCAAAAAAACTGTCAGAAACTGCGCCCAATCCATCTGTTTCGAAAAATTGACTCTACAACTACTCATATTTGCAGCTTGGTCTCATTTCTCTGGTTTGCCGCTCAAATCGGCTGTCGGAAGTTTCTGGGAACCTGCTGAGGCAGAAAACGTGTGAATTTGACGGGGGAAAGTTGAAAACTACCATTGTTGTGTTCCCTGGAGAGTTCTGGACAAGTCTTGGTTCAGGAATGTGGTCACCTTGTCACAATTATCTACAATACCAGTACTGTACAGTACATACTTGTATCCCCCCTCCATTTATCTCCTCCAACACTCTCAACAGACTTGTACAACTTGAAGTGATAATGTACTTGTTTTTGAACAATGAGACGTCCAGAGACCCGAAGAGACTATCAATTTACTCAAACCCACCACGTGACAGTTTTATCACCAGAAATCAACACCTTTTGCCAACACTCTGTATACGTCTTCTCAAAATAATCATACATATCTTAATTCACACCGACCAAAAAGTGCAGAAATACAAAGACCTATGAAACACGATAGAAATCGGATATATCGAAGAAGAAACAGCTTTATGCATGTCTAGATCATGCCACCATCCCACTAATAGTCATCTTTCAAACGTTCAAATTATTCCCGTCAGGATAGGCATGAGGTACTATATATACGCTTATTAGAGAGCTTTGGGGGTGAATATCTGATACTAGATTACTAAGAAGGAGAATTATTTGGATAGATACAAGACTTTGGGCTGCAAGTCTCGTACTATATTACTAATTCGATCCTGGAGATTCTTCATGTTTTATTTTTATGTCAATATTTTTTCTGGAACCCGTATCTTGGCCCGTCGACAGTAAAATAAATAAAATAAAATAAAATAATGAAATAATAAAATAAAATATTAAAACAATAAAAATTTAAAATGAAATAAAAATAATAAAAATAAAAATAATAAAAATCAATGAAAATAAAAAACCAACAAAAACCAACAAAAACCAACTATCAACCAACATCCCCATCACCACCAATCAACAGTCCAATAACCACCTCAGCTCGTTCAAAAACTCTTCATTATCTTCCCTCTCCCACTCATATCCCATTCAAGTCATCCGATATAACTACAAGCTGAGTAATCGCTCCTACAAGCCCCCTTTTTCCACCAAAGGAAATACTCAGCAAAGGGGGTAAGTTCACGTGACCTAACCCAACTCCAGGGGTAAAAACGACCGTTGGTTTTATTGGAGTTCAACGCCTCTAGAGTGTCCCCATTTGTCTGTCGATTTCGCTTACTCAGCAACTTTAAATTTGTCACCTCCCAAATCAAGTTTGAAATTTTAACTCCTCCAATTCACCCCCATCACCATGTTGCGCCGACTGACCTCTTCGCAGCCTTCGCTCGCGGCTCTGGGACAGACCCGAGGCTATGCCGCGGCATCCGCCAAGACCAAGAACATCAAGAAGAAGGAAAACTTCCAGAAAACCCGGTCGCTGGGCTTCAAGCTTAAGAAGGCCGCTCCCACCGAAAAGAAGAAGATCAGCGGCAATGCCATGGTCAAGCCTTTTGCCCAGACGGTCCATCGGGCTGCCAAGGTGTCGGACGTGTCCGAGATTCCCGCCATTGACGCCGAAACCCTCAAGTCCGCCGAACCCGTGGTTCTGTCCTACCAGGGAGACGTGTCCAAGACCTGTGCCATCGGGTCTGCCTTTTCTCCCAAGCGAGGCTTCGAGCTGCTGGGAGAACGAACGACGCTCCTGAGAAAGGAGTCGCGAGACGTGTTCAAAGCGCTGGACTCGCAGAGCCGGATCATTCTGACCGGACCCACCAACTCCGGAAAACGAGAACTGCTCACCCACGCCATGGCCTATGCCAAGACCAACGGCTGGATCGTGCTGCCCGCCCCTCAGTTGCTGCAGTACATCAACGGAACCTCGGACTACACTCTGACCGAGTCTGGGCGACTGGATCTGCTGCGACGAAATTGCGAGTTTTTCCAGAAGCTCGCAGCCATGAACAAGGAGGCGCTTGAAAAGACCAAGCTATCTAAGGACTACTCGTTTGGCCAGATCAAACTGACCAAGGACAACTCCATTTACGATCTCGCCAAGAAAAGCGTGCCCGCCCGGTTCCAGGCCGGAGACATTTTCGACGCCGTCATCTACGAGCTGTCTCTTCTCAAACAAAAGGTGCTGCAACCAGTCTACGAGGTGGACATTCTGGCCCGACCCACCGAGTACCGAACCCCGGAATACAAACAAATCCAGGGCCGTGACTTGCAGCTGGCTCAGCTCATCAAGTCGCCCCCGCAAAACTTTGTGCAGATCATCACTGCCCACGAAGGAGACGAGACCGCGGTGGCACTGGGCAAAAAACAGGCCGCCGACTTTGTCTACGAGCCCAAGTTTGACCCATCCATGGTCGAGCTCATCAAGACCGGTCACGTGATCGAGGTGGCCCCCGTGTCGGCGCTCGAGTCCGGTCTGCTGCTCGATTACTACGAGTCTCGGGGCCTGACGCTCAAGGGTCGGGAATTGTTGCATGTCACCTCTGGTGGTCTGCTTGGCGAGCTCTGGCGACATGTCCGGGCTTATTAGATGTATATAGGAGCGAAGATTAGCCGATCTGAGCGTAATGATTGACAACCGAGCGAGATCTGAGTAGTGCATGAGAGAAGAGATGAGAGAAGAGACGAGAGAAGTGACGAGAGAAGAGACGAGAGAAGAGACGAGAGAAGAGACGAGAGAAGAGACGAGAGAAGAGACGAGAGAAGAGACGAGAGAAGAGACGAGAGAAGAGACGAGAGAAGAGACGAGAGAAGAGACGAGAGAAGAGACGAGAGAAGAGACGAGAGACGAAAACAGATAATCCACGAGCCAAGAGAAAAAGCAGTCCACGGTCCATAGCTCTGGACCAGACTCCTCGCTGCTGGCTACGATTAAGAAAATGGCCAACGTGGACAGACTAAAGTACATCCAACTCCAAGGATTAGTCAACTCAAGGCGCTGAATGACGTATGAGAGAAAGATGTAGATGATTGTCGAGGTGATTTGGGTGGCGGATTAGTCAGTAACGTCTTTTTTTGTCGCTGTTGAAGATAGTCTGAAGTGTGGTAAGCGGAAGAGAGGTGTAGATGTGGATGAAGACGTTTTTTCACGGGGGTTGTATGAAGCTGTTTGTTGTGTCTTGAGTGCTGAGTAAGATGATAGGGATGTGGTGCCTTTGAGATAGATATTCGTCGTGTTTGGTTGGTTGTTCTGAGTCCATCTCCAGGAGTGTCGACCTCAGGTTTAGTTGAGATTTGGTTGGGAGTTAGTTGGAAGTTCGTTGCGATGGTGGTAGATGGACTTAGGTGCGGGATCTCAAGTGTCTAGGGTCATTTTTGGGATGTTGAGATAGTTGTGGAATGGAATAATATCCTCAATTCGGAGTGTCTCTCCTAAAGAGTCGAAATCCGTGTTTTTTTCTTTCTTTTTTGTCTTTTTTTCTCCTTGATTTCTACTTGCACTTATCAAGTATAAGCCACAATTTTAGTTGAAGATTTGTTAACCTCGTCAGAGGGCACACAAGAGCCGCAGTGAGTATACTGAACGGCTTGAGAACACCTTTTCGACCAAGTAAATGACTTACACTCTTTATGATGAGTAACAGTCAGCTTTGGCAGTACTATACCAAACAATTCGCATGATCAACTCTTCAAACGTTGAACGTCGAACGTCGAACGTCGTCCTCCCTCAACTCCCTGTTCGCCGTGTTATCTCGATCAGTGTCTCCAACTCGGTCGATGGTGTTTGGAGATTATTGCCGGAGTTTTCGATGTGTTTCATATCGCCTATTTCCAGAATCAGCTTTCCTCCTCCCTCTTCCTGCGGGAAAACCACTTCAGGGAACCGTCTGGTTCCGATAGGATAGCAGCACACACCAGACTTGCACGCGATCGTTCTCCCGAGATTGATCTAGGAGAGACCAGATTGATGGTAGTCTACTGCTCACTGATCAAGGCCTAGTCAGCCTCCGGAAGCAAGTAATACTTCATAAGCCAGTCAGCCTTCATAAGTCAAGTCAGCTCTGCTTTCTACATCTACAAGCAGCGGACCGTGAACTTGATCGTGGAGAGCAGTGCAAGATTCAACAACAAACAGGACAAGTAGTTCTTGTTTAGGATCTCATCATTGCGAGGCCTCCTGACTTGTGTTCTTGCCTCTCATCTCTCATCATTGTGAGGCCTCCTGGGAATGATGGACTCTTCTGCTGCTGTTACCGAGGGTCACCCCATTGAATCGGCAGACAGTTATGACGGCATCTACAAGTTCATTGATAACCAGGTAGCAAGGCAACCTGCTATGGCTAGACGGTTGCACTTTACTTGAGAGGAGGTTGATAAGGGAATGCTCCATATGCTCCAACTGAGAATCAATTGGTGACCGAAGCGTTGAAAGACTGAGACCTGGAGTCTCAACTCCACTCTCCAGTCCGAGAGACTCCTTTGAAAGTCGTCTACTCTTTGAAAAGTGGATAGAGCACAATACCAGGTCAGGGAAATCCACACTCGAGTGAGTAGACAAAACAAGTCTCTCCGCTAGCCAAGTAGACGCGATTGTCGGATTCGTCGACTTGTGGAGTTTGGTTCAGGCCGGAAGAAGATATCAGAAGAGGGTAGATAGTGGAATACTCGAACAATGAAGTCTTTGGACTTCCGACAGATACTTAACGACGTTGATATCGTTACTAGACTCCTTGGACTCTTGAGTGTCTACCCGTCTTCTCTAGGAGTCAACATCCCGAGCAAGTTGGCACCACAGTTGAGGGAATAGATCCTGAGAGCCTTATCGACTCCCAGTATGGTATCTGACTCTGCCATCAGTCTGCTGATGACGTCTATTGTGAAGACGCTGTTGTAGAGACGCCGTTGTGGAGACGCCTCTCGTCTGACCAACGACTGCAGAAGGCGTCAAGAGGACAATCTGACCGCGTTAGTGGATTCTAGTGGGTCTGAAAAGGTAGTCCTCCAAATCGGCTTCAAGAACTTCAACAGCCACAGTGTGATAGTCGTTGTTACGCCGAGTGGCTTGTACTCACGGAGAGACGTGCCCTCCGAGGAGTCTCCTGAAAAGTCTACTGATCGGCCAACGAGACCTTCAAGGCAAATTTCTCGTAAAACAGTACTTCCTCGGAAGCGAAGATGCTTTACTACTTATTTCATCACAGCCGGAGCTCTGGGTTCCATCATCATTCGACCATTTGACGTGGGAAATGCCAGAAGAAGCCGTGAATGAAACGTAGGGATCTCGCCGGGGTCCAGTGGGGTTTCAAATTGAAACACCATCCGCTGTTAAGAGAGGTTTTCTGATTACTCTGATTATTCTACCAATTGCTCATCCTGTCATGATATTTCCGCTTTGAATAATTTCCGGATTTTTTATATTTCTATTCGAGATTTTTTAATTTTAATTCTAAGATGGGATTTTTCTTTATTATTTTTTATTTCAAGGAAACACATTTCAGCTACTTGGTCACGTGACTCAATTGGACCACTAACACGTCCAATGCCTTCTCTCTCCAGTCCCCTCCATGCAAGGAGCCTGTCTCGGGATTACTCAGCATTTTGTTTAGGTCAGCTGGCTCACTGTCTTTTTTTGTTCTATTTTTTTTTGTTTTGATTTTTTATTCTAATTTATTTTATTCTTATTTATTTTATTCTAGGGACATTTCAGCTACTTGAGCCCTCAAGACAATAATACACACCCTCTAATCCTTCGGATTAGATTGCTCAGAAGAGCACATGACATTCGTGCTTGCTTGTTCACGTATTCTGCCTGTTTCATCTAATGATGACTAAGCACCCAACACCTTATGACCGATATGAGATCTTACAGTCCAGTTGCGGCCATATCCTGGTGAAAATACGGCTTCCCGTCCGATCAGCCATAGTCAAGCACCAGAGAGCCTAGTTAGTATTGTAGTGGGAGACCATACGAGAATCCTAGGTGCTGCAATTTTTTTCAAGATTTCAAGGTGATTCTGGTCGATATTTTTTTATTTTTCTGAATCAGAATAGATAGAAGAGCAAAACAAAAAAAAAAAAAAAGGGAAAAAAAAAGAGTAACACAGTCAATATTGGATTACACGAATCTGGAGACTCCATCACCACCATTATTGTTTTTGTTCCTTTTTTATTATTATTTTTTATTCCATGTCTCGTTCTTGTCCTCAGAACATTCTCAATTAGTCATGCTCTGTTGAGATAGAAACATGTTGGGTAAAAAAATCCTGAAGCACGCAGTTTGATCTCGACGCTCGTGACATTCTTGTCCCCAGATCGACGCCAAATACTACAGTACAATACGATCAACTTGAGGATCCCGACAGAACCCTCGACAGGATGCTCGACAGGATCCCGACAGAACCCTCGACAGGACCGACAGGACCCTGCATAATCTCTCTTATCGCAAAGTCTGCGGGATCTGAGCAAATGAGCAAAAAACGTACGAAAAAAGTCGAAAATGAACGGGGAACATTGAGATACGGCCGTCGACAATCTTCTGGTCATTTCAGGTCCGGTTTTATATCCATTTTTTCACTCCCTGAGCTCAAGGTTCGAAGAGTCCCGGAAACGCCATTTACGCAATGAATACCACTGGAAGACGTCTGTAAATAACATAATCGAAGTCCCCTCCGCCTCAGCTTCATCTTGATACCACTTCAGACCGTTTCCAAGCTTTCCGAAAAAGCCTGGAGACGGTGTCGAGTGACTTGAGAGCCCTCATAGGCTGGACGGCAGCCATAACGAGTCTTCAAAAACCCCACTTGCTCTTGCTCCCATGATCACCGCCGCTCGCTCTCAATTGCTCTCTACTCTCTGAGGAGCAATAATATGCAGAACCTGGCGCCGTACGGACATCTACCGGCTGGCCATTCTCGGCCCCAAAACAATCAGCTAATGACGCAATCGAAACGAATTTGGTCGCAAACCAATGCGAAAGGGAACACAAACGGGTGTCCCCTCGAGAAAGGACACCAACGCTTACATAATCCGAATTTTCCCGACTTTGTGAAACATAATTGCTTTTTCAATGCAGCCATCTGGAGAGAAAATCGTGCATTGTGCAGGAGAAAAGAGATGTAGATAGAGCTCGATTAGCGAGGTTACACGCGTCCAACAAGCAACAGGCAACTCTCAGACTTTTCTTGTTGAGTCTTTCTTTTTCCCGTCCATATCAGCCCACAAATTCGAAGGTCTAGGCTTAGCCGGGGCAGATAAAATGTCCAAGAAAAAATGTTATAATGAAAAGCAACACACCGTTGGGAAGTTCACGTGATGGCGATTGATCTGGTAGACTGGGATGTGTTATAGCTGTTTGTTTATGTTTTCAACAATGGCTTTTTGTTTGCCGAGGTTCCAGTGAAGATCAAAAAGCAAGGTATTCGGCAGAGATGCGACTTGAGGAGGGGATCCAACTCCACCAAAAACGCGTCTCATCGGCGGCTGGAGATCAAAAGTAAGCAAGTCAGGCCATAATGGGCTTTTCTGTGGTCTGATATTGGTAGGTAGGAGGTTGGGGGTGGGCGTGGGGGGGCTCTGGCAGGGTTCCTGAGCGGCTGAATGGCATTCGGCATCTTTCCCAATCTCTCTACAAGCGCTTCAATTTCCAATTCAAAGCCCATTTGAACCTCGGGCATCAACATCTGGTCAACTGAACGCTGCAGAAACCGCTTCGTTGGACAATGAGGATCTGATCAACAAAACGTCTTGGGAGCTGATACAAATGCCGATCTTTTGCTGTGGTTGCACGAATCGTTTCTTCTGTCGACGTGGAACGAGATTCTGGACTTCTCTAGCTCGATAGGGGAGTAAAGTACGAGTACTAGATCTGTATTGAGATTCAGTCAACAGAAAAAGAAGCAAAAAAACAAAAAAACAACAACAGGAAAACAAAGCAACAAAAAAGCAGTTGTATACTCGCACTCGTATAGCCGTATTGCAAGCGATTGAAACGGCCGCCGGAAGAGACCAAGACGAATATTTGCTGCTGTGGTTCAGAAACGCATCTCCATATCCGGGTCGGACTAACAATGGTGCATATTGGTGTTTTCGGACTTGCCCATGAAGCGCGCAAACAACTACCAAGGCGTTATTGGTACCAAAATGATCCCTGGGGCCGGGTGAGCGAGTTGGCACTATTCTTTTGGGGTCCTGGGTCTGTCGATCCCAGCGATATTTGCAATTTTGAAATTTGAACAGATTGAGCTAGACCTCGTCTAAACCGCGGTCGTAGACTCCTCCAACGTTTCTAGCACGGCTCGGATATCTGTAAATAGTCTGATGTTGGTCGCAAGCGCATTCCAGAGCTGTAGGCCCCCTGCTAGGACACGGCACTGGTCTTGTCCACAACAAGACGATACAGGACGACTACCTGTAGGCACCAATGGATAGGGTGGATGGGGACGTGTCAAAGATGGATTCAAAAAGGATCAAAAATTTGGTTCACAACGAGATTGTGTGTGCTTTTCAAACAATAGCTGATCAATTGGTTGAGAGAGGGTTGGAGATTATTTTGGAGACGGTGGTCGTAGACGATGGCAGGTGCCGGTGACTGTAGACGTAGGTGTCGCAGGTATACATGCCGTAACCCCCACTCATCTACCAACCACTCACCCCGCCACCCCACTACAGTACCCCACCAACCCTCCACTGGGTGGCTCATCGGCTGCCAATTCCAGAAGAACCTAGCTCATTGGCAGCGGTCGCGCGACGCTAAGTCCACGATTTTCGCGACGCCCGTAACGTAGTCGTTTGCAGGACTTAGTCGTCTGCTAACTGGCTGGGATGTCGATGCGAGGTGTTCATCGCAGAGTTGGTGTGCTTTTTACACTAAAACGAGTACCCTGTTGGTGATCTAACCACTGGTTGGCAATAGAAATCCTAGACGTCCTAGACAATGGTTGAAGGCCGTCGTGTGCCAGTGGAAGAGCTAGTGAAGAGCGTCTTTAGCGAGTGGCTCTAGTTGACAACTGTTATGGGACTGTTCTGAGACTGCTCTGGGTTCGTCACGCTCAGCTGAACTCTGACTACCGTAGAAGTCGCCAGACGAGATAGGAAGGCTAGACCGAGCAGATACGTTGTGTGTGCCGGAGCCAACACATTCTGAGCAGACTAGTAGCCAGTTCCAAACGCACAGAGCAGTCCTCTCCGAAGCCCTCTCTCTCCCTCAAACCGTTCCGCTAGTCATCGCATATTTCACAGCTAAGGACCCCTGACGACTCAACTCCAGACACGCTAACACGGCCCTAACAGCACCCAAACCTCACGCCGCTACCCCGCCGAGTCTCAGGGTAGTCCACAGAGCCGCCAACGCCTAGACGCAACTTTTACCGAGTCTATCTCGTGCATTGACCTACTAGCGCCACTACGGTTGCGACGATATCCTGGGCTGTCGACCGTAGCCCACATTTCCGCCGCTGCCGCCTCTGGGTTCCCAATGTCTAGATGCAACTGTGGCAAAACCGGCTATAAGATCGCTATAATAGCGCGGTTGAGACAAGCGGGAGGGGAAGACACTGTCGGAGGTCCCACGGCTAGTGGAATTTCAGATGGTGGAGCTCCGTGGGACTGGAGAGAAAGCAAGGAGGGGGAAAAAGAAGCAACATGACGTAGCATGTATACAAGAGCGATTTGGCGCGGGGGGAGGGGATTGTGTGAAAGACGCGCGTGCTCCCCTCGGCCGGCCCTTGCAGCGGGAAATGTGCTCCACATGCACTCCACCACCACCACCTCCACTAAAGACGAAGAGGACCCTGCCTAGAAGATATTTTCTGGGGGGCTTCTAAACAGTTTCTAACACTGGTCTGTCGCCGTATGTTACCGCTGTAGGCAATTCCTGGCCCCCCAGGGGCTCCCTGTGTCTTAGTGACTGGTCAGAGACACACTAGAGGTTTGGGGGATTTGGGAGACGTCTAGGAGACGCCTAGGGAGCTGGGGTCTAGTATGTAGCGTGAGAGTGGATGATGGACTCCCAATGTGGTAAAACGGGGTCGAAAAACGGGGTCGCACGGACGTGTGTCGTCTGAACCAGAACCAACTGAGGCCTGGGGACTTGGTCACCAAGTAGGCACTCGCCAGAAGGTCGCCAAAGCGACACAACAGAGTCATTGGTACTCCAATTGCACTCCAATTGGTGCTACTTTTCGCGTACCACCAGCATGCGTCATATTGTCGTATGAGGGGGCTGAGGACGACGCAAACAATGTGGAGTAGATCTATAACTCCAGATCTATAGCACGTGTTGGGCGAGAGACCAGACGAACGCTGGTGAAAGACTGGCGACTTGCAGAAAGACTGGCGGAAAGACTTTTGGCGCAGTCACAAACACCGTCCCGCAAACACAGCCAGCGTCGTATCGTCGCCAGAGTCGTGTCTGGCCTCGAATCCGTCGATGAAACGGCCCTTGTGTCCGAACTCAGACGCGGAGCTTGTCTGCTAGCTTGAGTCAGCCCAGTAATTAGCATCCACTCTACCTCGGAGTCTATGTATTATGGACCAGACTAGCGGTTCCGGTAGCTCCAGTGGCTGGGCAGTAGCTTGGGGCACGCGAATGACTAATGCCGGCGTGTCTCAGTCTCACAACGACCGGGTCCAAGCCCAAGTCCAAATTTCAAGCCCAAAACAAACCTCAAGCTTTTTGGCCACGCGCTAGTGGCGTTGGCGACGACGCAAAGCAGGTCTTATGAGGCATTGAGGTTGTTCGCCGGTCGTCGGCGCACCAGACACAATTAACAGACGCAATTGCGACAAGCAACCGACCAGGCAGACGGCTGCGTGGGCGGTAGCAATCCAGGCACGGAACTGCACGATATACAGTACATGCTGAACTCGCACGCCAACAACGCAACGACCCAGACCAAACCTAACCTACCAGGACAAGGGCGAACTGGCGAGCCAAAGCAATGTAACACGAAACACGACCTCAGACAAAAGAAACGACAAGAACCGACAAGAAGCGACAAGTGACCAACGACGGACAACAACAGACCAACAAGAAAGAGCATTGGCGTGGCACTGGCGTCGCCGCGAGAAATAAGGGCTGGACTGGGCGGAGCGGGGCACAACAGAGCCCCCGGGTGTCACAAACACCAAATCAGCTGCTCCCCCCCCTATCTCCTATCAATCACACCCTTTATCTCCAGATCCGCTGACCGGTTCTGGAAGACGTGTGCGAAATAATATCCGGGAGGCAACCACCAAACACAAACACAAAGACGACGCGAAAAGGAGCCGCTAGAGTCGAGTGAGAGAGATGAGTTGAGTTCAAACACTGAGTTGGACTGAGTTGAGTTCTTCCAACTGAGTTCGGTCGACTTCAGTTGGGTTCGGTTCAGTTGGGTCGGTCCGTTCGACTCCACCAGGTTGGAGGGTGGCTTTTGCACGTGACATGGGCAGACCCTGCCGCCCGTCGCCTATGGCCTCTCTCTGTCTCCCGTCACCTACTGCCTGTCTGTCGCCCGTCGCCTGGCCCTGGTCTGCAAATCTGTCGATCTGACGATCGCAGCTGTTTCATGTGACAATTGGATCCGGCGCGGGCTGCAACGGCCGCGACAGGGGTCATGGTGACAGACAGACAAGACGGAGGCGGAGACCGAGGCCGGGACCAAAAACACCAAGAGGACGGTTCGAGCCGGAGAAACAGCCATTGTGGCGGCAATAGCGGCAATGATGTCGACCGCGGCGACAACCGCCCCAACTCCCCTCAACTACCTCCCCTCCAGACATTTTCCCGGATCAAATAGACTATACAACACGACACGCAAATCCGGCCATGGTGACGATCAGATCCAAGGCCTAGGACAGACGCGCGGGGCGGTCGCAAAGCGGGAGTCACGTGGGCCAAAATTTTAAAAAAAACCCAACACGAAGGGCCGCATCACGTGACTCGCAACTCCCCCCCCAGTTCCTCCGGCCCACTCAAGACACGTGCCCACCCTGGTCTAACTGGAGATGCTAGTGACAGGAACAAGGTTGGAGGTTGAAACGGGGGGGGGGGGGAGGGAAGAAGAAAAAAACCAAGAGGTCGTCACACGCGGAGGAGAGGTCGGAAACGGGTCGGAGGCTCGTCCCGCGGGGTGTTCAGGGTCACGAGACCGCACATATGTCTTTTCCGGGTCTTTTGAGGTTCATTTTTCTCCTTCTTTTCCGCCGTTTTGCCGCAAGCCCGTAAGCCGTAAGCCGTTTTTCGCCTTTTTCCCCACCGTTTTTGTCCGCCAACCAAATCCACCCAACTTTAAACTCCGCATGCGTCATAGCGACATGGTTGGAGTCAGATCAGAGTCAGATCAGAGTCAAACACAGAGTCAAATGTGAGTCGGTGGGAGTCAGATGAAGCGGTTGATGGTGTTTGTGATGGGATGATGGGGTCAAGCTGGTGATCAGGTGACGGGGTGACGGGGTGACGGGGTGACGGGGTGACGAGGAGACGCTGTCGCAGTGAGTAATCGAGAGCAGTGTCAATGGCTAGAAGAGGGCAATGTTGGTGGTTGGTGTTGGTGGTTGGAGTCTGTGTTTTGGACACAAGGCCAAACGACACAAGCGGTGAAACGGACACGAGCGGCGAAACGACACAAACGGCGAAACGGACACAAACGGCGAAACGGACACAAACGGCGAAACGGACACAAACGGCGAAACGGACACAAACTACGACCGACGATGTCGGGACGACCATAAAACGACCACAAACCGACCACAAAAAGCCCAACTCTCCACTCCAACTCCAACTCCACTCTTGCGCTCGTCCGTCTGGTCTCTCTTTTGACGTTAGTTTGGTGACCTTGGTGGCAACGTTGAACTTTGCACCAACTTGTCTTTCAGAAGATGGTAGAAACTGACGTCGAAACAGCCAGCCATGACAAGCGCGTGAGACAAAAGCTGTGATCACGTGACCCGGACCAGAAAGGCGTCGCGATCTTTTAGGGGGAGGTGATTCCAGGTGTGTTTTTTTCTTCTTTTTTTTTTTCTTCTTTTTTTGCCACTTTTTCGGCCACTTTTTCGGCCACTTTTTCGGACACTTTTTTTGCCTTTTTTTGCCTTTTTTTTTCCGCCTCTTTTTTGCCTCTCTTTTCTCTGGCCCTGGCTCTTCAGCATACATGACATTACCTACAGTATGTGCTGTTGCTGTATGTACGTTTCGACTTCCGGGGCATGCAGTCGGTTGATTGTCTTTTTTCGCTTGTCGTATCGGCAGCTGAAATTAACTTGTGCTGGCGAGTTTATTTTTGCGGTGGAAAAAAAGACGGGAAAACAAAGACAAAAAAAAAAAAGACACTAAAAATGGCGGAAAAATGCGAGAAATAAACAGACAGCTCTAGCGTGTTCATAGCAACCCAGGCCCCACGCCAATATGTTTGTTTATTTTTTTTTTATTTTTGTTGATTTTTTCTCTAACTTTTTTGCTCCATTTTCCCTTGCCCACGCACGGCACCAACCAGCCACAGATATTTTACAGATTCTCACTAGCCCAGATCATCACCACAAGGTCTGGATCTGCGCGTCGCACACTAGCGACGCGTAGCCGGGGGGAGGGAGATGGGAGAAGAAACCAGTCCACGTTTTCTGCCAAAGTCAACCAACACACTGTTTTCGCCAGAATTCGTGCCCAAAAGTCGGATCCTGAATTCGGCCTAAATTCCTTCTTTTTGCAGAACGCTTGATTTTTTTTTTATTGCCGAATATTCGTTCCCTTCTTCCCTTTTGTTGCTTTTTAATTATTTACCAAATATTTTATTTTGCTGTATTTTATTTTAAATTTATTAAATCTCCACGTTTCTTACAGCCATTTTCTCTGAGTCTACAGCACTGTGTTCATTCGTATTGAGACTGTAGAGTAACGCACGGACCACGAAGCGAAGGGCAAAGATGTACCTTGTGTGGAGGATTGGCGCAACTCCAAAAAACATGTGATGATGCTGCCCCACGCTCAGATCGACACCGCAGTGGTGATTACACGGTGCGTGTGGTGACTACTTGACCAAAGTCGTGGCCACCACATGACCCCTGTCGTCCCACCAAACTCTTCATGTGAGCGCGACAGAGCCGACGTCGCGGCACCACACCAGTCATGTAGTCACCACAGAGCTCATGACACCGTGCAACACAGGCTTTATCGCAACCTCGCAGCCACAATCACATTCGTTATCACCGACACAGACCCTCGTCAGAGATCGTCTTGCAATGATCTACATCGTGGTCCAGGGTGCATAGGGTCGTCCACCTGCTTTTGCTGTGCAATGACATGTGCAGTTGGGTTGAGGTGGAAAAAAAAATGTAAAAAAAAAATGTAAAACAAAAATGGCCGACAAAATCTGACAAAATGTTGAAAAAATGAAGAAAAATGTGAAACAAATGCGGGAAAAATTCCGAAAAAATATAACAAAACTCCTTCAAAAAATTTCAAAACCTCCGCCGCTTCGGAATCGACAAAACCACACTTCCTCTCCATCTTCCATCCCCCCGGCATCCCCACACGAGCTTTCGTTCAGGCCCTGGATATTATTTCGCCATCTCGCTTTTAGAACCAGATGGAATAAATAAAGTTTCAACACAATGGCTGTGGAAAAAAAATCGAAAAATTTGCGAATAAGAAAAAAAGAAAAACTCCAAAAAATAGCTGCCAAAACGAAAAGCCCAAGAAAAAGCGCAAAAGAGAAAACCGACCCAAACCAGCCCTGAGCGCACACTACGGAGCCATAATTTCGAGATATTATGGTCGCCCCACAAATATTATTTACGGGGGATTTCCACCGTCCAAAAAGGGGGTTTGGGAAAATAAAGTGGTGGAAAATGAGGCGGAAAATCGGGAAAAATCGGGAAAAATCGGGAAAAGCCGTAAATAACTAAAAGAACATACCACTATACCTTTATGTCGCTCCTTAAACCAATTATACCATCATTTTCCCAAAATTTTCCCCGTTCATCAAACACCAACCTCCGCCATAACCTATCTCTGACCACCGGAAATAAGCGTTCAGAATTAACTTTGGGGTTGCAGATTATGCGGAAATAAAGTCCACTATGTATCTGGGGCAACGGGGCGGTATTTTTTTTGCAGGCTCTATCTGTGTAACTTTATTTCATTCATCGCCTAACACTAATCTTAAGTTGACGCGTCTGGAAATTAAGTTTGAAACGTTCGCGCCTCAAAACTGCACTGTTAAAAATAGACGCTGGTTGGAGGTGAGAGTGCGCCTCAGAGGTTTGCCAGCAACAGTGAGACGGGTGAACTTTCGGCGTTGGAGACCCATAGTCCTAGAGGTTTACCCGAGCCTGGGCAATAATTGTTGCTGTCAGAAACCCCAGCCTCAAATCCTACCCCACTATAGCTAATTTTCGGTGGTAATTAAACTGAGGTCATGAGTTGACTTATCCAGTGTGTCTTTTCCGTCTTTATGCAAGGTTTAGTGGGACGGATGCGGAGATGGGGTTAGGGGAGAGTGGGCGAAAGTCGTGTATTAGGGTTGGGGTTAGGGTTAGGAAGGGGCGAGGGTGCGAGCGGGCTTGGTGAGGGCGAGAGTACGCGTTGGGTGGGTTACGCGTTGGCGGTGGTTTGGGTTGGGAATAGGGTTAGCAGAGTGTGGTGAGGATTTTGATAGCGTCGAAAGTGGTGAATGATTGGTTGAAAATGAGGGAAGAAACGTGTCACGATATAATTGAGGATATGAAAAATGATCTGGGGTTGATTCTGTGGGCAAAAAGTGTTGAAAACACTTACTAAAGTGAGATTTTACCCTCCCGAACGCGTAAAATGAAAAGGCAAAATAAGCTTTTCTTGTTCTGCTACACTCTATTTTAAACTTTGAGGTCCGGCAACAAAGTTGTGCAAGTTGCAATTACATATATACCGTGGTCCCATCCCGACTATGGTGCTTCTTCAGAACCATTTTTCTTCTCAATGACCACCTACGATCTCAACTACGACTACTCCTTTGAGTCTCTGGACTCGTTTGACTACTTGTCCGAGAGCCAGGTGTCGACCGCCGCCACTAGTCCCGGTGTTTATGACTATTCGGGCTTTTATGGAGATCACAAGGCCCATGCTGGAGGTCACAGCGGCGGAGTTGTGGGTCACAACGGCAATGTCGGGGGTCACAGCGGCCACAAGATGCCTCTGTCTCCCGCCACTCCGATGCAGACTCCTCGACAGTCCGAGTACAACCACATGATCACTCCGGCGACCATCATGTCTCGGGCCTATTCGACCTCGTCGACCCCGTTTGTTGGCATGAAGCTCAACTTTGAGACCCCGGTGTCGGAATCTTGTGGCGCTGATTCGCTACTCACTCCCCAGTCCATTTCCATGGACCGATCGCACTCGCTTCCCGAGTCCGGCGTCAACCCGTTCTACGCTCCGTTCGAGCTTAACCAGGACGTGGTTTCCGACGCCGAGAGCGGCAACTCGCCCACCGACTCGTCGTCATCGTCCGAGTCTCTCGTGGAGTCCGCCCTCGCCCCGCCCCTGTTCACAAACCCTTTTTACAAGCCCCAGTCGTTTGTCAAGGGCGAGCAGGGTGATCACGTGTCCGAGCCTTCGCCGGCGCAAGTGACCGAGTCGCCCTCGCATGTGACCCAAATGGAGTCGATGGCATCCATGGCGTCGATGGCTTCAATGTCTCCCTCGCCCTCGCCTCTGGAGGAGAGCATGTCTGCCAAGGCGGCCAAGTTGGCACTTTCGCTGGTCGACGAGTCCAAGAACTCGGCCAACTCAGCAATGCCCGCCAACCAGTCGTTGTTCAAGTCACCCGAGGTCCAGAACCTCTACTCAATCATCCACACCCCGCACACCCCCACTGTGGTGCCGCACAACGGTGTCTTGTCGGTGTCGCCCGAGTTTGAGTTCACCGTGTGCGAGAAGAAGTTTGTGTGCAAGCACTGCGACAAGCGGTTCAAGCGCCACGAGCATCTCAAGCGACACATGAAGATCCATACCGACGATCGGCCCTTTTGCTGCGATATTGAGGGCTGCGGACGCAAGTTTTCGCGATCCGACAACTTCCGGGCCCATCGACGGACCCACATGAAGAAGGGCGGCCGAAACTCGTTTGTCGAGGGCCTTCAGGACCAGTACACTCATCGACAGAAGCGGCGATGTTAAGTCGAGTCGCGGCTCGACGCGATCATCGACTTCACCCCAACTCCACCTCGATTCCAGCCAGCAATCATGACATTCGCCCACCCCCATTAACACACATGGACGTTACGCAACTAACAAAACTCTCATTCCGTCTTTGACGACCAAAACTGCAGGACAGACTCATTCTACACGCTCATTACCAGCCCCGGAGGCTTATTTATTTCAAGGCATTATTTATTAGAGCAGCGCAAGTCGCAGCCGAAGTTGCCCAGCGGCTTCGTAGTGACTTTGTAGTTAGAACATACGCCATTGTAGAAGATCTAACATCCGTAGATGGTGATTTTTAGATGGGTCCACGAGTTATCGAGGAGGTGTGGTTTTTTATGTTTTTCTTTTCATTTTTCTCATTTTTTTTCTTATCTCGCACCTTTTTTCACCATTTTTATTTTATTCTGTATCAGTCATTTGATGGTCCAAACTGAGATTTTCCAGCCCTACAAGTGGTGGCTTCTGTTCTCTCTGGCCAATTTCTCATCATCTCCTTCTCTTCTGCCAAAACGATTCATGGCGGAACTGTGGGGTGTGACAGTTGGCGATTTTTGGAGATTGGCGTAACAGCTGGGGATATTTGGCTATTTGGGCAACTTTTGAGGAGTTGTACCAACTTATGCCAACCCCGATGTCTTCTGACAACCCGACAATCACCTCATTTCGCCCACATAAATGGTTGAGATCTTCTCGAACTTCTGATCATCCTCCTGCGAAACTAAACTGGTGGCTCTAAAAAGCACACTGTAGTTGAGTTGTTGGGGAACGCCAGCTGGAGTCTGGCAGAGTCGTTTCGGCCTCTTGACATGTGTGTTCTCATCATTTACGCTGATAGTCAACTCCAGCCAAATACCACGAGGTGATCTGCCGATAGACTGAGTACATTGTCCGCGAAAACCATGTGAGCAGCGGCTGTCCGAGTCCACGAGACTCTGGTGTCAAACACGTTGCCAAAGGAAAGGGATGAGACATGGTCCGGGTCTGGGCCCATCGCCACTGGACTACGGTCACTGGAGATCCATTCACTTTGTTCAGCCGCCCAAACCCAGCTCATTAAACTCTGTTCAACCAGGCTTAGCAGGTTGAACTAGGCTTAGCCAGTTGAACAGGGCTTGGACTTGGAGCAGGGTCAGGCTAGATCCGAAGCTTTAACCAGGCTCAGCTTTGCCTTCACCAGTTCCAAGGTGGGCGAAATCTGCAGAAAGACCTTGCTGCGAGTCGTAGAGCCGAGTCGAGGGTGAAGTGCGATGTCAGTGGAAATTTCCGAATATTTCGACACATTTCTGAATGCACAACACATTCTCGAAACCTCGACACATTCCCGAGATACCTCGACCTGTAGCAGTCGGTTTGATCTGAGCTTGTCATTTTCCTGTCATTTCATAACAAAAAGTCTAAACTTTGCTCACTAATTTTCTTTAAGTTTGGGGAAATGATCTCCGACGGTAAACAAACATAACGTCAAACCCCAAAATTAACCAAAATTAGCCCCACCAGAAAGCCCACCACAGAGGTCCTTCCCCCTTGCCAAAACCCAATCCAAACCACGTAATATCACTCTCAGAGCGAATCGGAAAATGACATTGTAAAGCTGGCAGTTGGGCGAGTTCAATAGTACCTCCTTCATCGCGATATCTCGCCCTTTCACCAAACTGGCGTCTCCATTCTCCACCCCCAGCTGGCACCAACTCTGTCCATCATGGCCATCTGACAGCTGACCGTGAACTGAGACCGAGACTGAGACCTGAGGCTGAGGCTGAGACCCGAGACTGGATCGCGCGGAGTGCCATCGATCTCGATCTCGTCTGCGTTCGTGCTGAGTCAAAGTGACACAGAAGCCAGGGTGACACAGACTGAAGGACACAGATAGGACACTGACAGAAGCTCAAGGACACAGATGGAAGCTCAAGTGGCTCAAATAGAGTGGGAAAAAACTGGCACAAACAGATTGGGGGCAAGTGACACAAATAGATTGGGGTGAGGCGTCACAATGGGGACTCATGAACGGACACAAACGGGCGCAACGGACTCAACGGACACAAACGGGCGCAACGGAAACAACTGACACAAACGGGCGCAACGGAAACAACGGACACAAACGGATCAAAGCGACCAAAGTGTCGTGAGTGTCTCCGGATGTTCTGAGTGTCTCCAGCAATGTTTGGAACCCTTTGGAACGTCTCTCGAGTGCCCGAAAGACCATGTCATACCAACTCCAGACACAGAATGAACTGACTGGACTCGATTGGACTTGGTTTTGTGTCAGATGTGAGCAACACAAGTTTGCCAGTTGCGATTTGCGAGATTTGCCAGTTGCGAGATTTGCCAGTTGCGAGATTTGCCAGTTGCGAGATTTGTCAATTGCGAGATTTGCGAGAGATGTTTGGGCGCCAATTTATCGTTGCGCGATAAACTGGCAAGACCGCTAACCCAGATGACGACTATCTCCACTATTCCCGAGCCCCCATCGGATAGGATGGTCATGTGTCCCTTGAATTTGGTCATGTGACTGGTCATGTGACTGAGGAGTCGGATGTGTCCCCAAAATCCCCAGACTGGTCGTGCTCAAAATGTCGGAATCTCCCCATTTTCGCGCCGACCAGTCTCGTGTCAAAATGCCCCAGAATGCCCCGAATGTCGGAATGGCAGTCACGTGCACCAGAATGAGACGGATTTTCGACAACTCGCAACCATATAAGCACTTACTCCGAGCCCAAATCGAGCCCGGACAATCTGCACCCATTTCTCCAAAATGAATGACAAAATCTGGTACGGAGAGTGTCCCGATTGTGGTGTCCGAATTCTACTCAAGGACTACAAAGATCATATGATGAATTGTGTTCCCAAACTAATTGGTGGTCAAGGGAGGTAACGCGGAAGGTGTTGTTTTCGGGACGCGTGGTTGGGATTCGTTTTGTTGACTTTCTGGTTTGTCGACTCTCTGGTTTAATTGGATGTGTCTACAACTACCGTACTTACACCATTGCCATACGTATAGTGGCTCAGGTACTTGTACCACACTAAAACCACGAATAATATAATATCAGCTAGTAAACCATCATTATTTTACTCCCCATTATCTTATCTATTAAACGCACTCTTAGGATTTCTTGTAATTTTTCAGCTCGAAATATGTTGGATTTTTCACTGTTTTTTAGGAATTTTTGTCTCAATATTTTTGAATAAAATAAAACGACATCCAAAATGAAATAAAATAAAAAATAAAAAACAAAAAACAAAAAATAAAAAATAAAATAATCTGGGCATATTTGCGAATAATTCAACTTGAGCGAAGATAATTGCAAATGCAACGGAGATGAAAGATTTTGGAACGTATTACGGAAACAAAAACCACTGTTTTTTAAACACAATTGAATAAAATTGGAGAGAGGGAGAAAAAAACAAAAATAAATAAATTGATACACAATATTCCTCACTAAACTCCATCGCAATATGACACACTCTCCAAGCCAAATTATCGACTCTGGCCAGGGCTAGACTTTCGAAATAGTACTATGTCATACTAAAAGGGTGGTGGTTAGAACGAATAATTATGGACCATTGGTATTCATTTTGAGAGTAGGAACAAGAGAGTAAAAACCTATGAGCAGAAAAAAATTGTTACGTTATGGAAAAATCATTGATATTCATTGTCATATATCAAATTTCTTTTTTCCCTAACGAGAGATCAGTTTCGTTTTTCTCTTCATCCCCGAAAATGGTCTATACTGTTGCTCGCATTTCCTTGAATTTCAAAGAATGCAAAAAAGATCAAATTCTACGGAAAACTTCACCAATGTCATATAACATCGTCAATAATTACTTCTAAAAATACCCTGACTCGTTCTGATTTTTCTCCGCTCAATTCCGCCAAATTCTGTCTTTCCAGTCTAGAAAATAAAATAAAATAAAATACTGAATAATTTGACAAAATCCAAACGTCTCAAAACACGCCAAATCGCCTAAAAACACATCAAATGTATCCTACACCATTTCAGACCCAAGTCCACCCCCAATTTGCCAAATCCCTTGACCCCTTGCGTTCTCTAATCCATTGTCCACCTTTTTCTACCTTTTTCCTTTTTTCAATTTTTTCCCCGACTTTCCTTGTCACCGTAAAACATGGTCGAATTCCTCCACATAATATCTACGACACCGGAACTGGCCTCGTCCACTGCCACACTGCCAAGACAAAAGCAATACGACCTCGTGAGAGGTACAGCAGAAATATGATTTTGTTTTTTTCTTTATTTCCCGTTTATCCGCAGGGCGGAGTATAAATTGTATCTGAGGCGGAGCTAATTAGTGCGAAATTGTGCGTTATGTTACGCCAGATGGAGTGCCCTGTTTCAGGGGGCGTTATTTACGGCAGATACGGTTGTATTCGGCGATTTTCACGCCCAGTCGGTTTGGTTGGGTTGGTTGGTTTGAATTGGCCTTTTGTTTCTATTTTATTTTATTTTTTTCCAATGTATATCACCCATGTTCATTCCGCTTCTGACCGCAAGTGAAACTCCTTTGAAATTTCAAAATACCTCCGCTCTCAGCCACTAAAAAAAGTCTTGTCGGCTTTCAGCTGAGACACGCCAGGGTGGTGAGACACGACAGTTGAACTGAAACAGAACGGGGAGGGGACCAGGGGGAACAGGGGGAGCAGCTGGAGTAGAGAGAATAGGGGGAACAGGGGTGGGTGAGGGACTTGTGGAGGAGGAGTGCCACGAACGATTCTTGACGGAAATGATCGTTTTAGAGCAATAATGAGCAATTTAGAAAGAGTTGGTTTAGGGGGTAAATTCCGCTAAAGTATTTGTTAAGTAGAACTCGGATTTTGTAGTACTGTATGTACGGACTGGGACAGTATAGCGGAAAAAAAAATAGTGGATAATTAGGCCCGCGAATTACAGATGTGTCTAAAAGATGTAATTGGAGAGCTGAGAACCTGAAATTTGTAATGGACAATTCAACAAAAAAGT